GACAGCCTTTATCAATGATAAAGGGTTACGCCCGAAAGATCTCGTCTATTTTCTTAATAAATTTTGAGGCAAATCTATTACCATTTCTACGAGTTTATATATATATATATATATATATACCCTATCAAAATATTGAAAATCACATCTTCGTACAAGTTAAAAAAGAATAAAGAAGAGAAAAAAAAATACAAGTTTTAATGCTTTGGCCAGGAATCACCACAAAGTTGACGACAACTAAGCAACGTTGACAACACAGTCTACGCATAGATGGACTTGAATTGGTCCACATGTACAATATTGCACCCTGATTGCACCAAGAGGTAGAAGGCTCGTGGAAGAACAAGCTATCCTGCTGTAGGGCCACAGTGCTTCAGTTTGTACAGTATCTGTGCAAATCCCAGAACACAGGAAATTTGAAAGCTGTGCTAAAAGGATTGCTCAACTTATGTAATGAATATTAATTTCCTTTTATTTTTCATTTGGTCCGACGAGTTGGGACCAGCAGGGAACTTGGCCTGTACAACAGGAGATTACTGTATGCTCCCTACAACCCTCAGCAGGTGTCACCACTGCCAGGAAAATGCATGATGAGATTTATAATTAGAGCCTCTTTCAATTCTTCAATTAGTCCACAGACTTCCCTTGATCCTCTATTCTGAATTCAGAGATGGGAGCACAGGGTACAATTGGCAGAATCTCAAACTCACAGTAAGTTAAGTGTCAACAAATTCTATTTTAAGTACTCTTATCATTGTGTATATATTTACATGTTATATCTCTTTAAGTTCCACTTTTACTACCTAATTGTAGTGTAAACAGTTACTGAGTGAAAATGTTAATTCCAGTAGTTCACTGTACAGTGCCTTTATTGCAATATTATGAATTAAACTACGATGTAATTATTTGGGGCTGCTGTCATTGTCATGCAGGATTTCAACGTATGCAGATGAAAGGGCATACCCTAGTATTTACCACCTGACCAAAGCGCAATGCAAGTATAGAAACTGATAGAAATGTTCTCTTTTTGGGAATCTCTTCTCATCATTTACTTTCTGTTTTGTTTCATATATTTGTCGAGGGGGTAAAAGGAATTTGTTTTCATCATGCATTTATTTTAATGTTTTAAGGGGATACTTAATTTTTTTTTTTATGTACTGTATCTCTCCAATAACTACTGTCCAGCAGCCTCAAAATAAAAATTCATTATACTTTATATTTTGACCTCTTTTTAAAGCAATAAACAAGAAGTTTCTCTCCTGAATCCTTAATTAAAGTGAACATTGGTATAGGCCTACTGCATGTGTTACCAATTCTATCAATTTTGACACTTAACCATGGGGGTTTTATTTTTCTTCGTTTTTCATGTACATGTAGGGTTTTAATGCATACCATAACATGCAACCTCTATTTTAAGTTTTTACTCTATTTATGCTACATCCTTCAAATAAAAAGTTCAATATTTAAAAAAAATGAAACTTTTGGTCATTAACATTGCATCATGAAATAATATTGGGAACATGTAAAACTACAGTAGAACCTCGATTTTACGTACGGTACGGGACCGGAGGGCGTACGTAAATCGGGGGATTCGTTAAATAGAGTTTGGGTTAAATTTGTGGTAACCTTTGACCTAAAATGTACGTAACGCTCATTAAACGTATGTATGAACGAACGATGTTACCTAGGCTATACCTTGCCTCTAGGCCTACGAACAAAACGATCCAAAAGAACCATTTGTTTAGTGTTTTTATTCATCACTTTACGATGTCATAATAAAGTGTTCAAATAAAACCATGTGTCTAGTGTATTAATTCATCACTTTATATCTTTTATTTAACTAAAGAACATGAAAATGTTGTAAGATTACCTATACGACAGAGGTATAACTTGGGAATTCCCCTTCATGCCTATTCTAAACAACAGAGCTGCGGTGTTGTCTGTGCCTGTTAAGACAAACTAAAACCATGTGCGCTGCACTGGGCGAGCCAACGAATTAGCGTTCGTGTACGTGAGACAGCAGCCATGTGCAATGCACTGGGCGAGCCAACCAATTAGCGTTTATGTACGAAACTATGTCTACCCAGCTTCGTGTAAAAAAATTCGACCAGACGAGATTTTCCATGGTTTGCCACACGAAGCTAAGGAGGAAAGCAATTATTTTTAGCACCATCGGTAGTTGTTTATCTCACTCAGTTCACATGGTTTTAGATTACAACAACCCAATATTAGACTCAATCAACGTTGCTGTTTAATGAAAATACGTTGCATTATGGTTTGTTTATTGTTATAGTTTATTGTAATAGTCTTTTTACTTATGGTTGCTCTCAAAAGGGCCGTTTGTTTTGAATATTTTCGGGTTTTTGATGACGTCATCGTCGATACGATGCGTACGTAAAACCGAGGGTTCGTATAACTGGGGTACGTAAAAACGAGGTTCTACTGTATTGTTGTTTTAATTACCGTATACTTCTGCTGATTTCATATTATAAATCAATTGTATTTGCATTGCAAATTAATGCTATAAATCAGTTCTAATTCTACTGTAACTAATTCTTATGTCAATAACAATAAAATCATCAAGAATATGTCACCGTTGTATTAATAAAACATGCCAAAAAGCAGGGGACCATTTTACATTTTTGGTAGTGTCCCTATATTGTGGTCCCTATTATATTGTGGTCTAAGATATAAAAACGCTCCCTGTCAACCCTACAAGGAATTTTTATTCTGGACCAAGGCTCTAGTCGGCCCCTTGCTTCATAACCCTTGTCAGCAAATTTCCCCCACAAAAAAAAAAATTTACTGAGAAATAAAAATTACTCATTTTTAGTTAGTAGTTCAAAATGACCTCATGTCACTTAATAATTTTCCCACCCAGCAGCTGCACTGCAATCCAGCCCGGCAAGAAAGAGGGCGTGAATATGCGAACTAAGTGAGATTCTCAGGAAAAAGCATCTGGTGAGGTGCAATGGCTGAATCTCCCTTTTAAACCTCTAGCATCTATTCGTTAATTTGAGTTTGTATTTGATTGCTTTTTACTTTTTAAGCATGGTAAGTTTCTGATAAGCTTTACAAAAAAGAGAGGGGCGTATGGCCCTTACGCTTCCCCCACCCCTAAATCGCCACTGCCTATCAACTTTGGTCACATTCCCTCTCATCATGTCCCTAAGCTAGTACTATACCAAAGATCATAGAACTGCAACGGGTCCGACTGTCAGAGTTTTGCTGGAACGCAATCCTACTCTCAAAAAGTAATCCCACGAAGGGGCGTGTCCTTCAAAAGAACGTAAAATGCTTTTGTATTGAACGTGTGCTGCGCATACAGAATGTAAGCTCGAGTTTCAAAACACAGCACGCATTCGATACTAATGCCTTTTATGTTCTTTTGAAGGACACGCCCCTTCGTGGGAGTACTTTTTAACATTCCATTGCCTGCATACAAAATAATATATAGGCCTAAGAAAGGGCAGTCGGACCTCTTGCAGTTTTACTCATTGCCGTGCTGAGAGACCACTGCCAAAATAATTGTTTATTAAGGTTTGCAGTGCGCCCTCAAACTTAGACCTATGTAGGCCTTCTTTCCTGCAAGCCACCCACTTCTCTAAGTAGTGATTGGGCCAACTAGCGTCTCTTTTATGCCCAAGGTCCTCAACAAAGCACTCACGACACTTGGCCTAGGCTAGGGCCTACGACTTAGCCAAGAAAATACTAATCTCTAGGCTAGGCTTATTATTCGGGGATGGACTTACTTAGCTTAGGCCTAGGTTTAGTTAGTAGTATAAACATGTTTAAAAACTTACAGTTGCACTCAGTAGTATTAAAAAAGTCTTGATTGGGTCATAACAAAATCAATATTTGAAATAAGCCATTCATCGTAACAACTGACACCTAGAGTTCTTCGTTGTTCACACAAGTTTGTTTATAAAAAAAAAAAGAGTACAGTAGTTTCTACATCATTGATCGAGTTGAACCGCAATATTATATACGAATCACCCTGACTTGTTGTCATAAGTCACGCACAGCTCAGACGTACGAATAATTAGGGAAAAGCACCACCTGTACGCAACTTAATAATAATAATTAATAATATTGACAGGGCCGAGCCGCTGGTACGGTTGGTCATGTTTCAACCTGACCATTGATAACCGGGGTTTGCATTCTTTAGACCCATAAAACACAAAAATGCTCTGGCATCGGGGATCATTCGCCCCTATCCCCGACTGGGAAAAGCCATTGTTTTTGTTCTGATTTTTTTTTTCTTTTTTCTTGCATATATTTTTCCTATTTTTTTGCACTGTTTTTTTCTGGCCGTCACTTTGGTCACTTCCCATGCTTAGAATTTTTTTGTGCTTTGCCAAAGCATAGGCCATATACTGTATCAAGGATGTGCCTCCTAATATTTTATATATGGTGGGGTGTGCGTGCGAGGACCAATTAAAGTGATCTAAGGTCAAACAGACTACACCGGGTATTTAAAAAAACTGGTCAGTTGATGTGAATGAAACTTACGGGAAATTTCCCTGTTTAATCAAGTTATACGGAACTTGAAGCATGTGTTTAAGTGATGATCCAGTGTGTTGATCTAAGGACTATTTAAAAGAAAACGTCCCAGACCACATATTTCGAAAACGGATCAACTGATCTGAATGAAACATTCGGAAAAATTTAACCAAGTTACAAGGAAGATTGGCGACGAATCAGTCAAGAGTGTATGGCGCGCAATGGTTGTCACGTGTAGGCCTACCTCGCTATTACCATTGCAGCCTTAGTTCAAGTCTCACTATAAAGTCTCACCTTTATACCTTTTTCAACGACTTTCTTTTTGTAGCAATTTCAACTTCATTTCTCATAAAGCAATGGAGAAAAGCCCTATGTTCTGTTGAATTCAAACAGACATAGTAAGTCTAATTAAAATTAATTCTATAATTCGTTGCAATAGGCCTAGCTGGGCTAACTGACATTATATTTGATTTCGTTGTTGGTATGATTAACCGAGTAATTTATCAATATAATTATTAATCTATTTGCCTATGTAGGCCATATTATAAGCCTATTATGTGTAATTGTGGGATCGATGTATATACACGAACAAAATTACACAGTTCTACATAAAAGGACAAAAACATTATTCACGTATACAATGCTTTACGTGTTTTAATACTTTTAATTTTTTAATGAGCCTCTTTAAAATCTGTGTTTCCAAAGTAATTTATGGACGCCATAAATGAATCTCTTAACTTGAATAGTACTAGGCCTATTGGTAGTTAGTACTAATGGATGTTGTAGTGAAGCCACAAAATACGCCGCAACGTGGATGATTCGACAACAAGGTGGGCAAAGAAAAGACACCAAGGTGACGTGGAGAGGATCGAGGAGGCGAAAGAAATTCAGTAGGCATCCCTAGGCTAGGTCTACTTGTAAATATGTAAAGAAGGATCAGAAAATGGAGGCAAATCAAGTTCTTTTTTCTCCAGACGATGGAAAATTTATTTCAGGTGATGAGAAAGACACACTTTTATTACCTAAACATCAAATCGGTGACACGACTTCGCTTCAAATATCACTTGAAAACGATGAGCTGAAACAAAACGCTGAAGTTTGGAATGAGTAAGTACAGGTCCAGGGTGCATTTGCGCAAACCATCAATACCGTATGGTAGGCCTAGCCCTAGCATAGATAGGAACCGCCCAAGAATCACTGTGTTTTCACATGTACTGTATTAATGTTATTAGTACAAGGTGTATAATAGGCCTATGCGTATGGGTTTATTTTCAAATAGTTTGCTGATACTGTGATTTTTAATGACTTGTTGGCTTGGTCTACGATATTATTGTACAAGTTATAGGCCCTAGGCCTAGGCTATACTGTGAGTATTATTGCGTAATATTATTAATTTTGGCTCTCAGTATACGATTACGAGAAACTATTTGTTGTCATTTTGGCTTTAATAATCCCATACTTTAAAAAGTCAAGGGACACCATTGCCGACCCCACATCTATCAAGGCTTGGTCCAAAAGCCTTGATAGATGTGGGGTTTTTACTAGCCTATCCAAGCCTTGGATAGTAGAAACGTTACAAAATGTCAAATAAGCTTCAATTCAAGAGTAGCCCCTAGTATGCCTAACAAAAATGGAAGCTAATATATTAAATAGTCTATATACAACATATAGGCTTAGATGAAAGGCATAGATATACTTTACTTTATTGTCACATCAAACAGACAATTAGACAAACTGATAAACAATTAGTCACAAATACTATAGCAGTGAATACATACGGTAGTCTCCTTCATGGAGGTATTTAAGAACCGATTATTATTTTTGGTTGTTGATGGTTCGTAAATTGTTAGGACTATTAACGGGATACCAGGGTCTGTGATTTTCTCTGGGCCTCCTAAAATAATTATTAGCCACAGTACCATTTTTTGAGATAAACCGACATTACTACGTCATTATCAACATCTCCAAACTTACTGAATGTATGCTGACATGCATCTGAATATTTTCATATTTTTTCCATGACTTTTAGCAAAGAACAGTGGCAGTGGACGATTTCGCTCTTTATTGGAACCATGTTGTTGTATGCTCAAAGGACTGCTTTGCCTTTATGTGCTGTTAGTGTTGCCACCGAATTTGGATGGGACAAAGCCCAAACAGTAGGTATTTGCCATTGTTAAATCGCTGTAGGCATAGTGTGTTGAAAAAAGTTTGAGGTAAAAGAAAATCATTATCTTATTATCGGCAAGTGGTTTGTAGCTTATTGAAGAAGATTCTGCTAACCAATGTCAAGGAGCCCTTGCTTTTCACTAGTGTACAATTCCCTGTGAAATTGTATGTCAAGAAACACTGCCAGTTACGTAATGATACACATGATCTTAGCCAAATGCGAAAGTTGTTTCTATTGGTGTTTTCTCTTTTTCTTGCAGGGACTTGTTCTAAGTTGTTTCTTCTGGGGATACACAATGACCCAAATCATTGGAGGCTACACGAGTGATAAGGTCGGCGGTGATCAGGTGATCTCAATGGCCATGTTGGTTACAGGAGTGATCACTCTGATCACGCCAGAAGCAGCGTATTATTTTGATGATAAATCCAGCACTCTGTCTCTTCTCATACTGCTAAGATTTTTCATGGGAATGTCTCAAGGTAAGTGCCAAACTACATGGTTGAAGAGGTATTTGGTGGTTCCATGGTTTTCCATGTGGAAGCGATTCGGCGCAGTGGAAGCAGCTTGGTTTCCCAACCTCAAGGTCAGGGTTTCAATCCTTCGCTGTGCATTTCGTTTGTGTCCTTTAGCAAGGTACTTTATCTGCATTTCTTTAGTCTATCCAGCTCTATCAATAGTTACTGCAACTTGCTGGGAGTAACCAGCGGTGGACCTGCGTCCCACCCAGGGGGAGCATCATGCTCTCGTCCACTTCACACTACTTGAAACTAGGGATAAGCTCCTGCGCTATGGGCCCTAGTGGCTTGGCAAGGATTTACTTTACAGATTTTCATGCTTTAAAAAGTATAACTAAATATTATTGGCTCACATAAAAAAAAAAAAATACTTGTCCATACTTGTGGACTTAACATACTTTGATTTTAAGCAACACTTTACTTATACAATTGATATTACATTAGGAATAAATTATATTATAGAAAATTAAAGTCTGAATTTATTAAATTATTGTATGGGAATGAACCACTTGTACAGTAAATTTGGCCTTTAATGCTATGTGAAGGGATATTTATACCACCGTGATATGAGATATCTGAACAAGGTTCATACTACAGATTTTTGTTGAATGAACAGGATTTATATCACAGATTTTTTTTTGAGTGGGTTGTGTGACCTAAACATTTTTTCAAAATAACTAATCCAACTGTTGTTAAAAAAAACATTATTTGGAGTAATTTTTATGAGCTATGAATTCTGTAAAACAAGACATCATTACATTCCACATGCTACCTCGCCATATGTGGTAGGATTTACAACCTTTGATTCCGTAGGTATAATAGAAATAAAAAAATAAATAAAAATCAGACAAAATATAAATATATACTCAGTTGGGATTGATGTAATAAACACATTTGATATTAAGGACCCAAAAAATGACATTACTTTGAATAACTTAAGACAAATATTAACAATGTGTACAAATCAAGTTAACATATGGAGAGAAGTTAATGAGTTGATCTGCTAATAGTAGTATTTGCCATGTGAATAGAGTTAAACATTAACAGTTGTAGTATACATTACATTTTGGCACCATATTGAATGCGCCTGCTATATTTTTATGTTACATAATAGATACTCTAGTATTTTCACATTGGTTATTTACCTATTATCTTACTGGTTACAAGCAAATTTTATAAATCTTTTAAAATTATCTATTGATAATAAAGTTATTAAAATATTTTATACATCTGCAATTTTTTATTAAACAGATTTGTACAAATTTTTCTAGGATAAAAAAAAAGAAACAAAATAATTTGTGATTCAAGATTTTGTATTCCTATATTTTTCAGCATTTCATTATCCTGGAATGACAAGTCTGATGTATAAGAGAGCCCAGCCGGAAGACAGATCATGTGTCATAGGAGTAGTATATGCCAGTGGGTATGCCGGGTGAGTTGCAATTCAGACACTTTGAAACATGTGGTGACGACAAGCCAAACCAGTCGCTCCTCGTGTTTTTGAGATAAGGGCCAAAACATTTTGAAATTTCAAAATTTTCAAAATATATTTTATTGCACTAAAATAAATTTTATATATTATTTACATGTTGTTATTTTCGTCATTAAAACAACATTTTATAATGATTTGGTGATGCCTCTGCCTGAAAAATGTCTGAAATCGTAAACTTAGAAGGCTAATTTCTCAAATACTGTTTGTTGAAACTCCTGTAACTCCTTATCAAAATGTCAAATTAATGATTCATTATGATTTGATGACTTTCATTTTAATGCATAGCACTGTGCTTTATGTTTGATAAAAACTACATTTATTGATTTTATGTACGTTGTTTTCGTACCAATATTCGGTGGGGATTTCCAAAGATGGGCCAGGCCCGCCCATCGGCTCAGTGCTACGCCCCACTGGCTTCCATTTTGGACGGCCTATTTCGTTTTTTTGGCTAAACCTCTGAGTACCAGTAATAAGTAAAAAACAATTTTGTGCGAGGAGTGACTGTTTTGGCTTGTCTTTGCCACACATAGTTTAATTTTATTATAGAAAATTAAAGTCTGGATTGATTAAATTATTCTATGGGAATGAACAGTATACGGAAAATTTCGCCTTTCATATCTATGTGAATGAATATTTATACCACAGATGTGAGATGTCTGAACAAGATTTATTAATCTTGTAGGTTGGGAGTAATTATTATGAGATGGAAAGGAAATATTATGGTAATAATTTATATAAATTTTATGAATCATTATTTTGGTGGGTTTGTTCTGCCACAATGTCTATTACAATGGCTGTATTCGACTGGTTGTTTTTTGTTAAGCCACACCTGCTTTGTTTCGCAGTCGTAAAATCCTACTTAACGAAGACGACCAGACAAGTAGAAAACTGGTAAATAATCGGCAAAACAGAATGGCTGCGTAGTTATCGTGATACACAATTTTTCGCTTGTGAATGCATTCACTCATCTGTGTGTCCAGCATTGCATACTTACTACTGTAAATCAATTTTTTTGATGACGCATACGCAGAGTTGTTAAGAACTCACCAACGGACCAATTTTTAATGCAGTCCAATCCAGTCCTCCTACTGGCCTGACTGTATATTCTGCCGATGACCATTCCAGATTTCAGGAGAGAACATATCACACAACGTTCAAACATGCACAGTTAAATTAACTTGATGTCATTACATTCTGCATTCTTCATCATCTCAATTTAAAATCTCCTTATTTATTTCACTTGACCACACATTCACATTGCTCAACCTTTGACCCCTTTCCTTGGCCTGTTTGTTTGATCAAGGCATGAGCCTTGCTTCCATATCCTCCGAGTTTTCCTTTCATTAATAATTTTGTGTTGTTAATGTGTGTACTGATTTTCCTATTTTCTTCCTTTTTTCCTTTTAAGTCTTTCTCCAAACTTTGACCATCCTGTTAAATTATTTTTTATTGTCAGGTCTGTGATGTCTGGAAGCTTAGGATCCATACTGCTTGAAGTATTTGATTGGCACGTAGTTTTCCACGTATTTGGCCTCGCTGCACTTGCATGGGCATTGTACGTGCGTACTTACATGTTAAAGAAACAGTCAGTTATAGTAATCAATCAAAATGGTGTTAATAGAGAGAAGAAACGCTTGAATAGAAACGCAGAACCAATTCAGTGGAAGAAACTATTAAAACACAAAGCATTCTGGTAAGATGCTCACGTCTTCAAAATATCAATGTGTATATGCACAATAAACACCCCCTAATAAGATAACATACTATTTGGCAATGATACAACAAATATGATGTTTAAATTGTTTTGATAGTATTGAATATTATACTGTAATTTCATAATTTTATTTCTCTCAAAACGCAAGAGTAAAGAATCTGGTAGGCAAAAAGGGAACATGTCCCTGCAACCAGATGCCTACTAGAGAAACAATGATAAAGGTAATAACAATGACAATAATAATAATAATAATAATAATAATAATAATAATAATAATAATAATAATAATAATAAAAATAACAACAATAAAAATAATAATAATACAAATAAAATTGAAAATAATAACAATGTTGATAATAATAATACTAATAATAATAGTAATTAAAATAATAATAATAATAAGATTAATAATAATGATTAATAATAATAAAAATAACAATAAGAAAAATAAAAGAAATAATAGTAAAAATAATAAAACAAGTAAGGATAATCAGAATCAATAGACACAGTGACAAATATGCTTATAATGAGTCAAGATATCTGTTGATTCTACACTTCGTTTGCAATCTTTATGTGTATCATGTGATTTACTCTTGTCAACAATAGTTATGTATATTCTTCATTACAGCACTCCTCAATATAATTTTTCATTCTAGGGCTCTGTTGACTGGTCATTTTTGTGGTAACTATGCATTAGGTATTCTTTTGTCCTGGCTTCCAACTTTCTTCACTGAAACTTTTCCAGGCAAGAAGGTAAACAAGCATTACTCTCTTAATAAATGATTTTGTAAAGCGCCACTTTATAAATTGAAACTTTCAACTACACTAGGCCCTAAAAATGTATTGCCCCTGAAAATGGCAAAAAATTGATCAATGTCAGTGTTTAAATTTGCTCATTGTGATGTAACTGAAATTATTTACTAGCGCATAGAAATGATGAGTGTTTTTAAAAATGTTCAAATTTCAGGGCTGGGTGTTTAATGTTCTTCCATGGTTGGTAGCTATCCCATTTTCTGTTTGTTCTGGAGTGCTAGCTGATAAACTCATATCTTCTGGACATTCTGTAGGAATTGCCCGCAAGTTAATTCATGTAAGTATTGACAAAGTATGGTAATTATCACCTTTGAATCAACCCAACATGCAAATACAAAATATATTTAGTTTTAACTAGTATCCCTCAGTCGATATATACATACATGCCAGGTGCGGACCCAGTACTATTACCCCCTCCCCGTTTTGGCACTAAATGTTAAAATTTCAATGCATTATATTGTAATTAGCGCTACTCACTTTTCTATTCTGAAAATGTTGTGCCCCCATTTGAAAATTTCTAGATTCACCCCTGCATGCATACATACACACATATGTATGTATGTATATATGTAGAATATGTTTTGTTCAAAGGATACCTGCTCAGTGGCACAACGCCTATGTGCTCTCGTGCGGCGGTCTGCAGGGCCCCCAAACCCTAGGGGCCCCAAAGGTGCTCCTAACCACGTGGTCCTCCTCAGTCTATCACCCTGACCCAAAAGGGCTATGTTGATAGGCCTACATAACAGCATAATGTGTCTCCGACATCGACTGTATATCATATTGTATCCAGTGGTGAAATAAAGGGGCCCCAAAATTTGAAATTTACGTCAGATGCCAAGTCACTGATGCGCACTGCGTGTGTAAATCTGGGTGTATCTATAACCAAGCATAGACATCTAGGCCTAGGCTCACGTATGTTTCGCGTTGACAACCAGCTGTCTAAGGAAATTAAAATGTCCGAGAAAAAGTTTGTAATCACGTGACTAAATGACGCTCGTTGATTAGTCGGTTTATCTGTCAATCAAATCTAGTCGATTTCTTTTGTTATTTATCTGTTATTAAATTTCTCTTTGGTTTTGATATGTTTATCTTATTTATTTTAATATTGGGGATGGAGCATATTTAGGAGAGCCTTCATGAACCTGTTTCATTTTAATCCAGGCTCTTCACCTTTTTTGTTTTCCGTAAAATTCTATTTTAGACTGTGCTACTGTGCAAAAACTAAATACAGTTACTAATATAAACATAAATGCTGTCTTTCTATCACGTCTTCTATATAGATATAAAGAAAGCATAGTGGGCCTACCAACCAAGTAATGTATGCTCAGACATGTATAATTCATTTCCTATTTTCAACTGCACAATGCTAACTGGCTCTCTCTTTTTTTTTTCATCTTTGCAGAGTATATCAAGCATCTTATTAATATTTCCGCTTTTTATTGTTGGGTTTTCAAGTTCGTTTCAAGTTTGCATCTTTTTAATGATGATGGCAGTATCTGGCCAGGCATTTGCAAACGGCGGTATAATTAACAATCCTAATGATATAGCTCCTAAAAATTCTGGTTCTGTTTTTGGTAAGTATTTTTTCTATCTGGTGAAAAGAGGAGGATAATAATGATAATGATACAAATAATAATGCTAAGAGTCTAGATTTTGCCTTTCATATTTTCAGGCAAACATTCACTTTTTTGTGTATGGCTTTTATTATAAAAGCCATATATGTAATAGAAAAAAATATGATGCTATATAAGGTTACAATTTCATCACAGTCAATATTAATTTATTTTTATAATTACTATCAGTAAAATAATGTTGGGCATTTAGAAAGCGGCTTTTGCCTTGGAGGTCACAAACCACTGAAAAGTTTGTTGCAATAATTACAACGGCAATACATAATATAAAATATATATACTGTAGCTATTAGTTTTGATCCACATATATCCAATATTTCTGTTTGACTAAAATGCAGCAAGTAACCTCATTTACATACAGGTGCAGTCAATAGCCATATTAGTATGTCCTGTGGAAATATGTTCAAAAGTGAGATAAGCCACTTAATTAGCTGTTCTTTGTTTTTTTTTTGTTTTGCAGGCATTATGAATACATTTGGTGCAATAAGTAGTTTTGTTGGTACGTATGTTGCCGGCTACATTCTCCACCATACAAACAGCTGGGCTGCCGTCTTCATGTCCGCAGCCGGTGCAATCCTTATAGGTTGGGTTTCGTTTGTATTATTTGGTACAGGGAAGAGAATCATTTGAAATGCTCAGCCTTGCCATTCAACATAGATACCTCATTGGCAAAATTGTCAAAATTATTTTAGCTCTCTTGATGTGTGAAAAGGATATTGAATTTAGGAATTTTGGCCACGCTAGGCTACCTTTTAAAATGTGACACCCTAAAGTCATGTTCACATGGCATTAATTCCGACAAAGGTTAACACTACCTTCAAATTGAACCACCGTTTACACTTCTACATAAATATGCAGTCCCCCCCCCCCCCTTGGAAGGACCTGGCTACGGGCCTGCCAAGGGGGTATTCTAATCATGGATACATTCAGTTCAGAGATTTAGCAGAGTTGCGCTATTGGATTTTCCTGCTCTAGAAAAACAGTTTGTTTTCTTGTAGGGAAATATTTACTCTTAATGAATGGCTTGGGTAATTTCACTATCAAAAATGCAGTCTTTATACACTAGGTTATTTTTGGTCAAATTGATTTACCAAAAAAGAATAAGGCTTACGACATGCAGAAACGTGTATTTCCAGGCTAGTTAGAGATGTGTTATTAATGTTGTCTTTTAGTCTTAGTTTTTCAACCTGGCCTAAAGGCCTATTTTATACATCATTTGAGAGCCTAAAAAGACCAATCAAAGATATCATTCCATTCAAACATGCTATACAGTTTATATGGGTCATTACAATGTATTGATTATGAAATGGAGGGGTTTTGATCATAATTAGACCAAATGTATAATAATGGTGAATATTTAAAAATTTAAATTGTACATTATGTTTCAATTCATCCTTATTATCTTGTGGAAATGTTGTGTATATGGATCATAATTCATTTAAATGACGAATATACATTTATCATAATTTTTACAAGAATGTAATGGTAGAATTTGCTGTACAGTTTTACAAATTTTAAAGAAAATATTTGTTTACATTTAAGTGAAAGTATAGAATATGTGAATTATTTATTCTTATATTTAAAATATTTATGAATTGAAAGTGTTGTGAATATCGGAAATTGTTTCTCCTCAACAAGGCTGAATTATGACATATAATATTAGGTACATTAAATATAATAATTAGTTTAATAAGCTATAAATAATATTAAGTTAATACAAGATAAATGTGGCGCTACTTAAGATGCTAATCCTACTTTAGAAACCATTTCATTATACAGTACTTTATAGAAACAATTACAATTATTTATTGAACTTTGTTAATTGAATGCATAATGATTTCTGAAAAACATTTGTAAATCACATAATCTAATCATGTAGACCATGATTAGCTCATGAACCATAGGGACCTGTCCTGTCCCTTGGATATTGTTGGGTGATTTATTCTCTGTAAACATCGAAGATCACCCACAAGTCTGAAGAAGACTTGTTTCCAGTGGAGTCCTTCTGGTGGTGATCGGCAGTATACAGGGAGACAATCCCCTACACTTTCCCAAAGAGTGTACTGCGTTCCCTACACTTTCCCAAAGAGTGTACTGCGTTCCCTACACTTTCCCAAAGAGTGTACTGCGTTCCCTACACTTTCCCAAAGAGTGTACTGCATTCTTCAACATGCTCATGGGCCATAATGCACATGGGACCAAGGGCTTAAACGTCACATCCAAAAGACTGTGCGCTATCGTAAATTGCATTCAGTTCAGCCCACCAACTGAAATAAAAGCAGCGATGAGAATTGACCAGGGGACCAAGTGAACTCTGCGGTTCAGCGCACACGCAGTGGCTACCACCACTTTAGCCAACTGAGCTAAACCGCTCTTTGGTCCCACAAAAACAGTTGTGTAACTGTAGGTAAACAAATGCCTGTCTGGGACAACACAAGTGTTTGTAGGACACGCATGTACAGTATTCCTTGCATTGTTATGATTGGTCAGTTGCTAAGTTTGACGGACATTCCGAAACGGTCCATTATAGACTTGTTTATGTTCTTCATTTCAAATTATGTTGTTGTGATAAGCTAATGTTAATCACATGACTATTTCATCAGCTCAGCTCTTCTATCACAGTATAATAAATCTAAAATTGTATTATGAAATGCATGTATAAAATAAGTGTAAGTGAGGTTAAGAAAACATCTTTGCCTTTACAGTATTTCTAATGTTCAACAAGACACAGGGTCGCAACATCTTACTTTGTAGTACAGATGTGTTTGCAATCATCGGATCAATCAATTTGCCATGTTTTATTTTTTTAAGCGTAGTTGCAAATATATGTTAGTGATAGTTGACTCTAGTATTAGCGTGGATAGCACCTTTGGCTGATTTTTTTTAGTGGAAATGTTTAGTTTTACTACGAACATGCCTTAATGACTGGTTACAATCTGTTATTGGTGATAGTATTTTAGCAATTATAACAAAACAAGTTTTATCGAAGTAGTTGCTTATTTTGATAGGTACACATATATTTTGCAAGTCAAATGTACATATCTGTAATAAGATATTATAGTCTCAATTAAGGAACTGGTGCTACTGAATTTAAGTTGTTTATAATTAATAAATGAAAACCACATTAAAATTATGAATATGGAGTAAATATATATTGATGGAACAATATTTGAATCTTCTACTCCTGTTGTTAGGAACTTGTGCAACTGAATTTAAACAATATATTTGCATGAGTTTACTATTAATTAAAGATAACTACATTTAAATATGGATATTGAACTATAAATATTGGAATATAAATATTGATGAAAGTACATATGGAACAAATAATTAATTGAATCTTTTATTACCACCCACCTATAGAGGGTGCACTAGACACTTATCCTAATGAATTAGTGCTGATAAATTAAAGCAATTTAAATTAATATATTTTTGATGAATTACTGCTAAGTTTAAATTTTAATAGATTGTGAACATCTGAAATTTGAGAATCATTATATAACCACGAGCCTTTAATCTTTTCTTTTTCTTCGAAAGTGTCTTTGGCGCAAGAGCTCTACAAAAATTTATACACAAGAATCACTTAACAACAATGTCATACAATTTTAATATTTGTTATAGAGTAAAATAACATTTTTTGAATAATTTCAGATGCCTCTTCCTCAAAGTTGAGGGGTAGACTGAGGTCAGTTAAGGGACTGATGAATTTTCTGCAATGGAATGTCTTAATGCCCACCCCTCCCCTCCATTTTGCATCCTGATGATGAAAAGAAAGTGATTTCATAATAGATTTTAATTTTTTGTTCCATTAATCTCAATTTGTAAACTGCATGATCATATATTTTTTATCTAGATTCTTATTTTAATTTAATGTACAGATATTTGTGTACCTAAATACTAGTTATAAAGTATTACCATTATCAAATGTGAAGCCTATTAAAATTGTTGATAATTAAAATTATCTTTTTACTTTCACAATCCCAATTATTGTACAATAAATGTACATACTGTAGTTGTTCGGATCCACATCTGTATTTTTTTGATGCAAAGATTATGCAATTATTATTTTAACAGATTAGTACATTTTAATCATTTTAATATTTATAATCTTTATTGAATAAAGATATATTCTATAATTGAAAGTGTTTAAACATTATTCATTTTTTTTTTGGTACAACTGCATGTTTTGTTTAAACATTCCAGTTATATTAACTGTCTTACCACCATCATGTTTACATTGAAATGCCTGTAATGTGGGTGTCTTAAAAACATGTATTAGGCCTACAATTTCTTTACTAAACTTCTAGACAAAATGAACAAACCAAACATGTACACCATGACAAATATGATTTGCAGATTTATTATTTATATGCTAACACAAAGTACCTAGCATATCATTTCCTTCTTGTAGTTTGCTTACCTTATTATTTTACCATGCTGTTGTTAAATTTGACATGCAATAATAGAGGCTCCATATAACCGTGTAGCTAGTTTTTCTGTAACAACACAAAAATGAATACTGTACTTATGTTCACTGTATAGGTTTTTAGCGGTATACCTCAAGCAGTTTCGGACTTCAATACCAATAAGCGTTTAAGGAAACATTTTGTATGCTTTTACAAATATTTTACCATCCTATGAAAGCAGCTGCTTTGCAATAGGTTTTTTTCCCTTCAAAATGCATACTGTATATACATAATAATGAAAGTACAGTATTTTGGCTATGTTTAAGGTTCTTTAAAACCTAAATTCGGGACTAATATTGACATAAACCCAACACTTGGGAACCTATGTACAATCGCATTACCGATATAATTTTTAAAAAATAACATAGGCCTAAATTTTCAAAATGGACTAATTGGAAGTGACTAAAATCAAATAATGTATGTCGGTATTGACTTCAGTTTCTTTTATATCTGTATGCCAATTGACAATAATAATAAAGGACAGATTTTACATTTACAACATTTTGATTTAATACTGTTATTGTTACTGTATAAAAATGAATACAGTAAATCAATCAATCTCTGATAAGGCGCATAATATAAATTTCTATGCGCTACAACGTATTGTGGACAAAATAGTTTCCACAGGGGCAAGGCTTATACTAAATAAATGTTATTATGCCAAACTTTTCTTCTATTCCACACTTTCAATGTTACAGTTAGCAACATTTACAATTGTAAAACCTTGTTTCATCACATTTGTTAAATATCACTATACAATTCCTTTAAACTTTATGAGTCAAAAAAGTAGTTTGAATATTATAAATTACCGAGAAAAATTAAAGACACAATTGGAAAGGAAACATAAATAAACATAATTAAGTCCAGTGCTCAGTTTATCCTGTACCAAACCCGAAACATGATAATGTTTTTGTTGGATTTAAGTACACCACCGAAGGCATATTGTTTTCTTTTTACTGGAATTAAATTAACAACTCTCAACAAAAGACTAACTACAATACAGTATTGTCATACAATGCAGAAAACAATAAAAGAATATAAATTATGAAGTAAAACTATACTACAGATATATATGGTGATTACACATAACAAATATGAGTTTATTCAAGATTTAATTTATAGCAAATAGAAGAAAAAAACCATGCTAATACATAAATTGTATTGAGAACATTATCTTTTTACATATCTGATTTACATCAACAGAATATTTCAAGAGATAAATGTTAAGTTTTAAATGTGTATACTGTATATATATTATAAATTATATACGATTAATGACTGATTTAGCTTCCTTAAAATTAACCACATTCAAATTGACTGTACTAATTGGAAAAAGATGAAATTAAATTATCCAGTGCACTCCATTTGGAAATATATGTCAGCGAGCAAAATGTTTACGAAGTGGAAAGTTTTATTTGAAAATATGTAAACAATTTTAAACATTTGATTATATTAAATTGCATTAGTTCACAGTTAAGTTAAATCCAAGATAAGCAAAAAATGTTAAAATTAAATTTTGTTTTAACAAACGTCCAAACATGTCTTAAATTTTGTTCTTTTTTTGAAAATATTAAAAATAATAAAATAATTTTAATAATAAAAAATAATATATTATAATATTATGGATTAATAATAAATTGCATACATATAATGGGGAGCCAGCTCACAGATCACAAATTATGGAAGAGATTGGGTCACTGTTTATAACAAATTAAAGTACATTTTCTGTATAGTTCTGCAGAATAAAATCTAGGGTATTTTTTATTTCGTTTGTGCCCAAGTTATTTCTAAAAAGTTAGGTATGTTTGTTTTTTGCAAATTATAATTATCGATCACTGAAAATTTCATTGTCGCCCTCTATCGACTTTTCCATTAATGATAGATAAATAGAAGTATTTAAAAAAAGTAAAACACAAAAAATATATATAACTCACAATCTATTTTGGTGGGCCCTACAGTTATATGCTACTGAAGTACATTGGAAAGTATCTTGAATTTTTGACACAACATAAAATAATTTCAAATATACTGACAAATGTTATTATCATTCACAAATAACAATATATAAAAGTACACTTATGCTACTAACATCAATATTATATCAAGACAGATATATAACTAATCATGTTTATAACAGATAAATAAATTCACTGCTAAACACCCAGCCGAAATCTCTGGCCAATACTCTCAAGGTTTATGTGATAAATGTCTTTGATTTATCTTTGATTTATCTTTATAAGGATAAATATGCCGAATCAACCCATATATGGGTAAATCACAGGTACCTGTCGCATAAAACCTGACGACACGCACAGATCTTATGAATATCGTAGATGGCTATTCGTCTCTGAAAATGGAAGATATCATTCATTCTATGCATGGGGTGCTTTAAGAGAACAAGAGAAATTTATAACAGATTACAGTATATAATATATTTGTCCTACTCCATAAAGATATCAGAGATCATTTGGTTGTAGCTCCAAGCCTGCTTTATCTAATTAAATTGTATTGTACACACAGAAACTTGTATTTCAGAGATTTTGAAGTTGAAGGCTTCAGAGGAGCATGGTGAAATCTATACGAGTATATACTATACGAGACATAAGTGAAAATATACAAACAGGATGCAACAAGGATAACCCATTCAGCTATACATCATATAAGCAATTTAACTGTGCAGATATTTACAATAAAGTGACTCTCCAAAAAAATAAATAAATAAATAAATAAAAATAAAAAAAAAATAAAACAACAAGGAACAAATAAAATCATAGAAAAAAATAATAAATATTAAACAGTAAATTTGAAAGATTTTTTCTGTCTGTTTTGACAATAGGTACTTGATAAACAATACATTTTTTATTAACATATAATGAGGTAACAGCCTATGTAATATTTTGTGAGTTAATGCTTATTTTTCTGGGAAATATTTTAAATAAAAGTATAACATATATATAAAGACAATTTGGTAGTTCAAACTGACATTGTAGCTATTACATTTTGACATTTGGATGCTGGATATATGCAATCCTATCTTGCTATCGGATCTCCTGTTTTAAATATATGGTCATGTGATTATCTATATGTACCGATAAAAGCTATGTCACAAAGCCTTGCTTACATCCACCTGCGCACACACAAATTTACTGTTAGTACTATCCCGTTCCCTGATAAAATCCAGACATACCTCTCAACCTCAGAACATACAAGTATGTAATATAGAAAATATGAAAACAAAATTAAAACCGGACTTTAGTAGGTAAAAACGAACATATCTACAATGGACAATTATTTGGTAAGCACAACAAATTGAAGCACATACATCAATGGAATAATTAACTACCTTACATTACAATACGAGGCAGTAAATTTTCTTTCCAAGATAAATAAACCTGTATCAAAAGGATTAGGAACCTCCTTAAAATCATAAAGCAGTTTCATAACAATATCAGTACATCATCTATTCATTAAATTTAAGATGGTCAAAAATATTAGGTCAAATGAGGATATTCCAATCGTGTTCAAAGACATCATGTGTTTGTGTGTGAAGACAAAAAAACAATACTGTAATATGAAAAAGAAAAAAAAAACAACTGGCTATATACTCAGATGCAATAGTACTCCCTTTCTAGTTTTCCTTTAAAAAGTGTTATATATTGGTGGATAATTACTATGCTATTGTGAGCAGAACACAGAACCCATTAAATAAACATTGCTTCTGAGACATACAACTTGAACATGGAAAAAAATATACATAATATTTGAGAAGCGTAGGTACTAACAATAATTGTGAAACCCTTCTCGCTTTCACATCAATTTAAATCTTCAGCCGCTTATCATTATGTTTGCACTACCCATAACCAGATTTTACTTGTGAATATTACCATTACAGCAATTCTGGGAGGACCACAAAAGCACTCTGACCTGAAGATCAGAAATAAGTGAATAATCAATGCAAAGAAATATACAATTGTGAAATTATATTTATTATTAGTATGTCTCCTCTTCATCTAACCCTTCTCCTTCAACCTCTCCTTCATCATACGCTAGTTCTCCTTCAACCTCTCCTCCATCTTCTAGCTCCTCTGGTCGTGCAAAACCATCCTACAAGAATGCAAAAAAAACAAAAAACAAACAAACAAACATGATTAGTTTTAATCTGGTACAACAAATGTTAAATATATAACTATAAATATTTGTTGGTTTTAATTTAAATTTTAAAAGTACTTGTCTGTTAATTGACAGTACAATAATATTTACAAATAAACTATTATGTTGCACACTTAGCATGCTTAGAACTACAAAAAAAAAAAACCTTTTTTTAAACGAATTGATGTGCTCCACAAATCAAAATGGAAAATAGTTGTGATAAACTATTAAAAAAATATTTACTATAATCAATTACTTTAATAAATACATGCATTTATCAATCTGCAATACAAAATGAAAGTAAACAAAGCACTATAAAACGAAGAGAAAAAAAAAATGTCCCAATACTATAATTTGAAATTATTTGTGAGAAAAAAAATATTGTTCATACAACAAAACATGACATATATAAAAAGCTAAACTACTTATAATTGAAATCCATGCATATAAAATAACGATAAACAAAAAATAAAATATCAATGAGCAACTAAAAATTAAGTAGGTTAACAATGATCTATTAAATTCATTTCTGATGTTCACTAGTATGAATGGGTTAGAAACTGTTGCAAACAATGGTAGCATTATTACCATATAATATACGGGAATAATGCTACATATGTATATGTATATTATACTCGTGTATAAGACGGGCCTTAAAACAGCAAATTAGGATCGAAAAGCAGGGGGTTGTTTTATAGACGTGCCATACAAATTTTAGATTTTTGAAATCATTTTCGTTTCATGTGTGGATCGTCCATAACAAGCCCTTTTTTTAAACAAATTGATGTGCTCCACAAATCAAAATGGAAAATAGTTGTGATAAACTATTAAAAAAATATTTACTCTATATCAATTACTTTAATAAATACATGCATTTATCAATCTGCAATACAAAATGAAAGTAAACAAAGCACTATAAAACGAAGAGAAAAAAAAATGTCCCAATACTATAATTTGAAATTATTTGTGAGAAAAAAAATATTGTTCATACAACAAAACATGACATATATAAAAAGCTAAACTACTTATAATTGAAATCCATGCATATAAAATAACGATAAACAAAAAATAAAATATCAATGAGCAACTAAAAATTAAGTAGGTTAACAATGATCTATTAAATTCATTTCTGATGTTCACTAGTATGAATGGGTTAGAAACTGTTGCAAACAATGGTAGCATTATTACCATATAATATACGGGAATAATGCTACATATGTATATGTATATTATACTCGTGTATAAGACGGGCCTTAAAACAGCAAATTAGGATCGAAAAGCAGGGGGTTGTTTTATAGACGTGCCATACAAATTTTAGATTTTTGAAATCATTTTCGTTTCATGTGTGGATCATCCATAACAAGCAAATTTACTACTGCAATGGACCTACTAAATGTTAGTAAGAAAAAAAAAAATTTTAAATACTGAATATAAATACAAAAATCATCCAAAAACCTTGTCAAACTGGGGGGGTCGCCTTATACGCGACTATATACGGTAGGAGATGTATTGTATCAATTTTTTCTCAGTCAAGGTCATGTTTTGCTCTAGAATTTAAGAAATGCCACAGAATGCCACCTTTTTAAAAAAAAATTCATTGATAATTTCACACGTAGTGAAAAAGGAACAATACTATAAAACAATCTTTAAAAAAAAAAGTATCTCAATAGCATCGCCATCAATTTTTGCTTTTCATGATTATGAGAATTAATGTAAACACAAATGTTTATTACAGTCCACAATTAAGAACATTAAATACTGTAGATACCTATAATAATTTCTATTTGCAGATACAAAGTGTAAACAAATAATATAACAAACTTTGATTATATTATTTACAAAACATTAAAAGTTAATAATATAGGTATAAGAACAATAAAAATAAGATAATATGAGAAAATAAAATGTTATATTTACATTCAAATGAGAACATATTGTGTGGTTATAAATGCAAGCATAATTGCACACTTTATATTTACTATAATACCATATAATGTTATCAAACAATATAATTTAGTGATGTAATAGGTACAATGTGGTGGGTGACTTTTAAATAGCTGTACAAAAAATAAACGAGGCATACCAAAACATTCCAATAATAATAAAGAACATAAAACAGATGTAATGTGATATACATTGAGCAAGCAAAATATTTGTCAGTAGTAGACCTGTCAGTAACTATAGTCGTCTATCGGATCCCCAAGTTCAGGAAACGCATCCGAATCGTCGTCCTCAAACTCATCAGGAGCTGCAAATCCATCCTAATGAGGGCAGCATTGTTTTAAAAAGCACAACGGAAAAAAAATATATATATATATATTACCCCATGGATGGGACCAAGTTAACGGATTGTGCAAACCATAGTAAAAAATAGCCACTCATGAAAAGTTGCCACTGTGCTCTGATTGGAGGGTTTTACTGCATCTCTTAGCCAACAGCATATTATATAGATAAAAATCTTCACTGGTAGCAGTCTTCGGTTTAAATATCAACTATTTTATTAAATTAATACCTTCCACTTTTATTAAATAATTTTTTCACTGTTATCTTTATGGTATGAAAAGGTTTCAGCCAAAAAGTATATAACTTAAGTATACCTTCTGATGGTCCTTTGAAAATAAATATTTATTCTTTTTATATATTATATAATGAATTTAATCATTTGTAGAATATATATATAAATTGAATAAGTAGACGGATTATCAAACGAGATATTTTTTGACCATCCTACCTTACTTTACGACAAATATACTGTAGTTAGCTTTTGTGAAATAATGAGATTATGCTAAATGAAATAAATTATATTATGTAAAGAAAACTTTCATAAAGAAAAGACAAAATACAAGATTAACAATAAAACCCATGAAAAAAGAAAAATAGTATTAAGGATGAACTAAATTGTAAAAATAGCATAAAATCTGTAAAGGAAAAGGTGAAAAATTGTACCTCTGTAGCATATAATATTTCCAGTATCCTGTTGATACCATCATGATCAGTTCCATCAAATTCTTGGCAAATTACTTCAATGTTTCTCAGCTTGTTGAAGTAGAAATCTCGCTCTTTCTCCAGTCCATCGACTGTCAGCCGTAATTCGTCCATCTTAAATAAAGGGAAAAAAATAATTCCCATAGAAATATAGATTGTTGTTATGGTGCCCAGGCCCTTAACCAGGTTCATGGGGGAAAAAAGGGGAGGGAGTGGTTTCCCTAAGCCAAGTTTAACTGAAAAGTGTTTCTGTAATAAACAAAGTTATGATATTTACTACTACAGTAATAAAATGGTCAAAAAGGGGGTTTCAGCTGAATCCCCAAAACCACCCTGGTTATGGGCCTGGTGCCAATCCTGTTATTGAGGCTTCTGGGTTACCTCCCTCCAAATCCCACAAAACAAATCCACTTAGAACACAATACTGTAGGAAGTATAATATATGCCAGTCATACTGTATCACTGCATCATAGACTCCTCTAAGAACTTCATATTATTACCCCCAGTCATTGAATCAAACATCTATGGAACAAATACTCAGCTCCCTTAACCTTAATAGTTTATTTGGAAGTTTTTGTAATTTCTACTATTGTTGAAATTGACAAAAAAAAACAATATTGGAAGACATAAGCCACTAGACACGATTATGACACATCATTGCAGAGTTTAACACTGCACGCATCTGTATCGTGTCGTTGTCGTGTCGTAATTGAAACTTTGCATTAGGAGTGGTAGCAGAATCTTTGTTGTTACAGAGAACATGTTATTTTCTGTTTTAATACTCATGTTCCCTTTGTCTGACATATTATATACCTCACGATTAACTTCTTGTAATTTTCGGTTTGCTGCCTGGTCTGAAGCCTTGGGTGTCTGTGCAGAAACTCTCAACGTTGTCTGAGGGCCTTTAGATCTTCCTATTAAGAAATAAAATAATAATATTGTAAAAAAGAATTGCAACAACAGATACAACAATAAGACATCTTTGAGGATCAACCAAGTCCTATTTTAAGACATAAAAACAGTCGATATCAAACACATGAACATATAATTCTCTTCTACATCTGTAAACACAACTCCAGCAAAAAATATATCACTGAAACACTTCTCAAAATTTATGATTTATGTTGTTCTATGAGAAAATGAATTTCTTCATCACCTAGCCCTTGTTCTATTTACTGCAAATCTGCACCACTGGGGATTTGTACATAATGCAAGCTGCAGGAGATTTCCAATCTTTTTTCAATATTTCAGATTTACAACAATGACACTAGCAACAAGAACAGTCTAGGACCAGAATCACGAATAGAAAGTTGTAGGCTACTGTCATACGCAATATACTGAATGACAATGATAACATAACAGATTCTTACCTGTTGGTGCCACTGTTTTCTTGGTGGCAACTTTCTTTTGTACAGCTGGTGATTGACCGACCTTTTCACCCCTAGCTGTTACAGCATCATATTCGTGTCCTTCATAGTTGGCATCAAAAAACTTCTTAAACCACTGTATAAATTCAAAATTATCCTGGAACTTGGCTTTCACTAGCCTATCAACTGGAATGACCTGAAAAATAGAAAATAAGTGATTTGATGATTAGGCCAAAAAAAAAAAATAAATATTGTGTTGGCCACACCCGACCGACCCAAATTTTACGAAATTAAGGGTTAGTTTTTTATTTAGACAACAAACAATATTTTTTTATAAGCAAATAAAGCTGGAATTTAGCCGAGGCTAAGGGGCCAAGTCTAGCCTATTTTGCTGAATGGTACGCGATGCGAATCCAAAATTGTTGTATTATTTGTGTATTTTCTACTTTTTAGGCGTAAACACATATTTGGTTGTATGAAAAAAAAGAAAAAAAAAGTTTTTCTACCGACCTACGCTTTTTTTGGATTTTCTCAAAACGTGGCCAACACAAAATTTTATTTTTTTGGCCTCATTCTTGTGCCCTGAAAGGATGGGACAGCGGTAATTATGTAATTAGACTTTCAAATCAGCAGTCTTAATCTGCAATGGACGAGTGTGCCATTTATCTGCACTTTGACGGCTGGCTAGCCAACCCCAGAGTTACATAAGTAATAATAAATAATAAATTCAGTGATGATAAACTACTGATAAAATTGGGCAGAGAATTCCATAGTATGGACACAGCAACAAAAATTGTGATTTTAGCCTACAGAGTAGAGTTTATGAGACAGCTAGTGGCAGTGGTATTAGCTTCCTACTTGGTTGATCTAAGTTACTTCAAGCCGAATTAAATAGACTGTGAAAGGAGATCACAGCAGCCTGTCTGTGCATGATCGAATTTCCAGACCTCTCTCCCCCTGGTGCTGCGATGGTTTGAGGTTATAATGATGACTAGTAGAACTAGGTCTATCATATGTAGGCCTACTGTAAGTGTCAATATACCATTTTAATTTGCATATTACTTAAGCTGGCCACTCACTGCGTTGTATGACGATTGGCCGTCGAATGTAACTCCGCTCTCTGCGAGCGTTAGTCGATACAACTCCATCTGCCGATTGTCATTGGCAGTCTGAACAGATCGTCATTAAAAATGATGCGTTGCAGTCGTATCGCGGTGTTTTCCTTAGAATCGTGTTGGTCGACGAACGTCATGCGCTGTGAGTGACCAGCTTTGGATTTTGAAGGTTACCAGTGTAACAGGTATTTACCTTATCAACCCCCATTTTCTTGAAGGATACTTGTAGAACCTTCCAATTATTTATGTACTCATGTTCCAACTTGGCCTGAAATTTAACCTTTTTCATTTGAACACAGCCTGTGCCACTAAACAACATATCCATTAACTGGCAATAAGCAGACCCTATTGCAGATAAAGAAAAATATAGAAATTATTGTGAATACTAGTATCAATACTATCATTACTTTGAAAACAATTCAAAGCCAATTTACCAGATTCAACTACAAATGTTTGTTACATGTTATTCAACAAACTCTTAGCATATGTTTGTATTTGTATTGGACATATTTCAAAATACATGAATATAGTAACATTATCCAGTTCTGCTCATTAATTCTGTAAAAATCTGGATTCAATATCACTAAAATTACAAGTATTATTATAATGTATTCTTGTTTTTTTATAGTTTTAGTACTTATTTAATTAATTATTATTGTAATTATCAGTGCCATGGTTTAAAGTGCTACTATAATACAGTAGGCCTACATGAACCAATTTCAAATCTAAGTAATGTTTACATTTTTTTGTACAAATACAGTACATACCTGTGGCCATATGTTCAATTTTTGTGTAGTTTAAACTTAATGATCCATTAATCCACGATAACATATCTTGTCTACTTAGATTATCTGATGTACAGTTTGTTGAATACACGTTGACAGCCATATTGCATAAAATTTCAATTTCAAATCTGTGAAAATAGAGGATTACAGTAAGTTCAATGATAAAAGCATAGCTTCAATAAAAACATATTAAAACATGTAAGAGACTGAACTATGAGACTACCTTTCCATTTGTTATCAATAACCTTTAAGTATTGCATAGCTTTGATGGCCTGACAGTGAAAATAAGCATTATCAAATGTGTGAAATTACAATAAAATTTGTGTGGATCAGCAAATTAATAAGTCCATGTCCAATGACCTTGTTAAGATAGGGTCCATGCTTGCCCTTGACCCTCACTGGTTCCCCTCCCCTCCCCCCTCCCACTGAGTACAGTACATAGTGTTCTATCCTGAATTATGGTTCTGTTCAGTACAGAGAAGAGATTGATAAATATTACAATAAAATATCCATCCAGCATAGATTCCTTTTAACTTTTTCTTTAAGGTATTATTACATGTACTGTAGAAAAGGGTTTTTGGCTTTCAATCTTCTTGTTAATATTGTTATGATATAATTTAAAATTCTTTCAACATCCAGGCAAGAATAAGCATTACAGTAAATGAAGTATTTTGACCAAACCCAGCCTTTAATTATGATACCAAGAGCTAGACTCTAAAAACTACACCAACTGAATGGCACACTCCACTTATTCTCTGCTGCCAGCTGTTGAAACTAATTAAACCTTAATCATGAATTATTCATACAGTAATAAACTTATAGATTACTGTTTATAAATTTGAATGACAAAATCATCCCTTGTTCTATGGTAAAAATTCAACATTAATGATCATTATTTAACATTTAATTCATTGTGAATAAGAAAAAAAAAAACAAGAATTTATACAATGAAACAGTGCAACTATAGTAACTAAAAATAATTATGATCATCATTACAAACAAATAGATGTACTCAAACATGTAAGACCAATTAAATTTAACTGCGGTTGAACTTTCCTACAGTAAATCGAATCCAAAATGGCATTGAAAGATAGATAGTTAATTAATGATACAAAACAATATATGGCATGTAAAATTAGATCAACTTAAAAAATTATTCGAGTTTGGCAAATTAGACTTAGGCAAACTAGTTTTAATTTAGTTGTACTGTAATTGTGAATAATGAATTAAACCAATGTGAGTTACTGTAACTCCTCTATAAGACTAACATATTCCACAAGATTTGTTTTTCTCAAGCTTGTAATTTATCAAGTAAACCTTTAATTTCAAAACTAGGCAGGCTAATTCCACTTGAATATAAAAATAAGAAATATAACAATATGTTTGCTACAGACCTTTTCACAGAAGAATACAATGTTTCCAATGCTTACTAGAACTCAGTGTAGTCCACAAATGAGAATATGATCATAGAACTAATGGACTGCATGAAAATCCCAATTTTGTAGGACAACATATGTGACAGTAATGGTAGTAGTGAGTGCTGCCATGGAATGTTCAAGCCTGACTTCTATAAGACAATTGAATTTCACTGAAGCTCAATCCACTGGTAGGCTTGCCTTACAAGCTGCTAATTTCAGCATTGTTCTGATCCTGTAGCCTAGAACTACAGGCATACCTTTGTAGGGCATTGCTATCATCAGAAAGATACTAACATAAAAAAAGCATTACAGTATAATATACTATATCTATAGTCCAGAGTAATAATGAATCACCAGTGGCGTATCTAGGGGGATGCACACGCCCCTCCAAAAATGACTCGAGCCCCCCAGCCACTCCCTTCAAAAAATCATGGTCAAGTAGTTGAAAATCACCTAAAATCACCTTATTTTGACAAATTTGCACCCTTCAACTGATTATCGAGCCCCCCCCCCCCAACTTCACTTTCGCACCCAGCATCAGCACCCCCATTTCAAGACTTCTATATACGCCACTGTGAACCACCACAGGTCTGTCTAACTAGCACAAATGATTCATGAGACAAATATCTATAGTACTATTAACTACTTTTTATGGTCAATATTTTGACAAGCAATATGCCTGCCAGTAGTCTACTGTAGAAGATTGCTAGACGTTAATTCTTTCATTTAAGCACAAGAGGTATATTATATAGGTACATTATATAATATATTGTTTAAATACTGTACAGTAACAGCTCCCAATTACGAGCCTCCCAATTACAAACTTTTGATTTTACGAACTTAATTTGCAGTGATATCATTACGAACAATCTTTTTTAACTACAAAAACACTTAAAATTGAATTTTAAAATAAAATATGACATAAGCCAAGAAAAAAAGGTTTAAACCAATAAACTGACATAAAATTTTAAAGCAAGAAATAGCAATTGTTTTCAGTTGAGGTACAGTATACAAGTATTCCATTTTAGGCTGAACATGCTTGTTCAAGGAGCCTGCTACTGTATAGTATCAGAAAAAGAATATCACTTTTTGTTCATTGGGGATGCTATTCAAATGACTAAAACTAATTCCTAATAGTTATGAAAAGAATTAACACTCGTTTTTACTCTAAATGGTCAAGGTTTAATTATTTATAAATGATTTACATTTTGATATCCTACTAGACATAGACATACTCTTGTTTGTTTTTCCACACACGAAATATAATTAACATAGAAAGGTGAAACATACAATATAAAATATGTTGTAAATAATAAAGCGGATTAAACAAGAGCGGACGTGGGAAATAAACGAATAAAAGTTTGTGGACAGAAACCAAAATTAGTTAGATAACTTTAATTAATCCATTGCTGGAAATTACATAGCCCGTACTGGTTATCTCGAAAATTTTCCATATACAGTTTAATTCCTCTAGGAATAAAAAAACTGAGGGTGAGGGTAACTAGAGTGGCTTCCATAATCTCATATCTTGTATAAGCATTTCTTATTTTGGAGTAAATACTTTGCAAATTATATTTTAAATAACATTGCTATTTAAAAAATTCCCTATACTTACACAGAATCAATAACGAGATCTGTCACTCCATAGAGTGCATACTATATTTCAGTCCTGTCTGATTGCTGAGTAATGAAGAATATGATCTTTACCCTTCACATTAAAATTCAATCACTTATGTAGGCCTACTGATCTCAGTAGAGTTCTGTCCCCACTATCAAAGTTTATGTGACTGTGTGGTCTATATGAGCATAAATGATGTCATACTTCACCCAAATATGGACACTTCAAATTTGAACCATTCATTAGTTTTTAACACCGAAACATAATCACATATTCCTTAGAGGACCACTAAATTGTATGATGATCCTTTGATTAGTAATCTTGCAAACAAATGGACAGAATGCAGTGAATAAATAAAATCCATTAAAAAGCCTGTAGGCTGCAATAATCTATCACAGTTGCAAGCACAATTTTGGATGATGCAACTCTATTGAGTCGTTGAGACATTGTCAACAAAAACAAGAGTTCTTTTCAGAACTATCAAGTGGTCTACCGCAAGCATTTAAAAAATTAGTTAAAATTAATAATTACAATAATTAATAATTATTATTAACAACAGTAATAATAACGGGTCATCCATTATTTTCCTCATATTCACAAGAGTACAAAACTACTCTTTTTGCTTTTTTTGACAAAGCAAACTTGCATACAGTAGGTCTACTCTGTTAATAATAATTTAATAAAAAATAAAAACAATAATTAATAAACATTTCTTGTTGTTTAAATTTATTACCACATAGACATCAGAGGAAGTAGAAAGCAAGTTTAAGAAAAATTGACATGTTTAACCTTTCACCTAGATTAGTGGCGCATGATTTGTTGTTTTTTTTGGATGAGGACCTACTTCACACTGCCTCTAGACCTTAGCTTGAATTTTGCTTGTGGACTGCTGGTGTTGTACAGTTATTTAGTAATAGATAACATGTAAAGTTTATGTCATCATGCATATCCATGGAATACAAATAATAAATTGTGTTTTAAAATGTTAAATAGAGTGAGTGATGTAGGCCCATTGAATTTAAAAGATAGGAATTAGGCCTAGTGAAGTACACTGTAGAAGGGAGAAGAAATAAGGTAGGCTTATCATCATAGCACAGTGAAACACATGCTCCCAATGCTGCTACCCTATACTGTCTGTGTCAGGCTGTGTGGTTTTGTCAGCTACTGGCTTACAGTTTATTAAATTTACGGAGCTAGAGTGCATTTCCCTTGTATTTTGAAATTGTTTGTAAGTATACAATGCTTTTCAACACATCGTTAATTAGGGATGTAAGATGACGCTGTGTATAAACAGTTCATAAACTGAACATTTACCAGTGAATTTATAACGATAAACTTTGGCTTTCTAGAGAAATGTCTAGGCACAAAAACGTAGGCTAACATTTCCAAATCGTCATTTTTTTACTTTTTTAAAAGCGTACACATGCCTTCAACCCCCTCCCCTAAGCGTACGTTTTGTACACTTGTGAAAATGATGAAAATAATGGATGACCCCTAATAAAATAAATAAAATATAATTGTTTTAAAATGTCATGAACAGACTTACTGGGCACTGCACTACTCGGTCATAATCAACGAATAAATGAAACAAGGCTTTAAGACTGTAAAATAAGGCCTCCGTGGGGAATATATTCTCCGCGCAAAAATTAGGCCTAGAAATTCGTCCACACATTCCGAAAAATAAGGGCTGATTTCTGTGCATAGTTTGCTGAATTAGACCTTGACATCTTCGCATCCGTTTTCCTAATGTTTTTACGCGCAAATTTTAAGTATCATCTGCGCAATAAATAATATACTTTACAGTATGGAAAGGCTTTATTGGTGCTTCTTTCAACCAAAAACATCTTTCTCATGCTAGATCTATAAAACAATAAATTACAGACAATCAGGCCCAATTTGAAAGTGGGCCTGATAGCCTGGAAATGGGCCAGACCGTCATGGTTGATTGAAAAAAAAAACACATCATCCGCATTGTATATACTGAAATAAATATTCAAGTAAATATATGATCATTTTAATTATGATTCTTAAATAGCTGTAGGTGTTAAAATAATACATTTAGAACACAATACTGAATGAAAGCGGGCCTGATGATAGTCCATGGTGGTCCCGATCATCCACACTAGTTGGGCCCGATGGTCTGGAAATGGGCCAATCATCTTATGAGCCCAATGCACCACCCACACATGGCATAGGCCCCTAGGTAGATTCTACAGCAGGACAGCCTGGCTGGCCGAGGTGATGACGATGGTAATTCATGACGATTCGTTGATAGGCCTATATTGATTGAATTAAATTTCTAGTATTTATATTCCAGTCTTGTTACCAGGTCATACGTACATGAACACACACAACACGATGCAATCTTCCTGCTGCCAAACACATTTGAAACTTAAAATAAAGCTGGTCTAGGCTTCACCTATTGACTAGGCCTAAAGCAGGAAGGAGGCCTAGGCTACTCTACCTAGCCTGAGCCCTGCCTGCAGGGCTGTTCTAGCTAGCCAAGTCCTAGCTAACCTGGGTCCGGGGCCATGATGAAATTTACGATATCGCCCAAGAAGAAATAACTCTAATTTTGACACAGATTAGATGATGAAAGAACTAAGAATTGTTATTAAAATATTGATGTATTAATCAGTGCAGTATTTAGTTGAAAAAATGCCTATTTTTATGGTACATTCTTACCAAAAACTAATGTACCTTTTTCTTTCGTTCACGACGTAAGACGGGCGGCGGTGAAGTTGAAAGTTCAAAATTTCAGTTTCTCATTCTAAGCATGCGCAAACAGGACTTAGACTGTATCAAGTCACATGATGTAAATTATCCAATCATTGAATTAAGGTCAAAGTTGTATTATTTCGACTCGCCCAGGGATCCTATCCTAAAAAACTCCGTAATTCTTACACATTTTACGATTTTCATTACTGTAAAAGGGAACTTTATATGACAGTTGTGTGTCTACTTGAGTATGCTGTTATCATCGAAGTTGTTGTATTAAACATGTTTACGTGATACGTGAAAGGAATCAGGTGGTTTTGTTTTTGAGGAATTATAATTTGACTGTTTCGTGTGGCATATATCTATCTGTTTGGGAACCAAACAGAACTCAGGCTGCTCCGGCTGCTACTACTAGACGGGCCTCCTCCCCCAACAACAGCGGTACAGTGCAACCATAGACTGAAGACCACTCACAAGCACACAAACAACTGTGTAATTTGTATTGCGGAAGAGGGGTGTATGAGGTAAACAATATAGGCTACAAATTCCTTTATGTGTTTTGTCTTGTATGCCATACATGTTCTTCTCTCTAGGACCTTATGATGACTGCAGTGCAAGACAGTTGTATTTTATTATATTGGTATTTATTAATGTTTTTCTCAATAATAATGTTTGTTGGCCAAAACTAAGCTAGGCCTATTCCTAGGTTGGGCCTAGGGCCGAAAGCCTCTCCTCTCTAGCGCTATCGCTTGACCCTAGCTTATCGCATCCTACCTACCTAAGCCTATCTAGGCCTAGCCCTCTATATAATAAGGCTATTATTATTATAAGATATAAGTACCTAACTTAGGCCTAGCTAAGCCTTAGCCTACTACTAGGCCCAGCTAAGCCTAGTAGGCCCTAGGTCTTTCTAGGCAAGCCCTTTGGTTAGGGTAGGTAGAGTAGGCCTATCTAGGTCTACCAGGCATCTAGGTAGCTAGAAAAAAAAATTGAAATGTCCCAAATATTTTTTATTTATTTTTAATAGAAAGAAATAACTGAATGAAGTATTTTAAAACAAAATTTATGTAAATCGGACCAATATTAGCAGAGATATTGCTATTTTAAATATGTTTTTTGCAGGAGTTAATTCCTATTGTTTTTATTATACAAAAAGTGTGTCCCTTACAGTATAATTATGTAGCATTTTAGGCCATGTTAAAATAATACTTGACAATTACTAACGATTATAATTTAGTATTCTAGTATATATATTTATATTAGATTTAATAATTTTTATCAACTTATAGATTCTACGTATAATAAATTATATTGAATCGCATAACTCTAGGCCTAATTGCAGGCCTCAGACAACACGATGGCCAGCGGGAAAAACATTTTTTACCCCGCGTGTAGCCGCAAATTAACGAGGACGCACTCTATTCATACGAGCAGAGCCTAGTTGCGGTACGTAATAAGACAATAGAATTTTATGCTATCAATTTCAATTAATATGCTCACAAATATTATTTAAAACTTTCTTATCTTTATAGTTTAAAAACTGAAGAAAACAAAAATGTTAACCAAAAAACTAGCGAAGGTTTCCTTTTATTATTGAAAATCGACGAAACATTGGTTGTACTAAAAAAACTTCTACTAAATCGATTCGCGCGCTTAAAAAGCCAATAACTTGGTCCAGAAATCATTTCTGGAGTGTTACTGTATCTGGAAGTAATTTGGTCAAATTGTTGTATACTTCCGCGAAATACCCAATTAATACATTGGATATCCTATCTCCGTAGGCCTACTTTACTTTCTACAGTATTAGAGAGCTAGGCCCAGACTGTATGTATAGTGAGGTCTGCGCGGGGAATGTATCCGCCACACAAAAATTTGTCCAAAAAATCGTATTTCGGAAAATAGGGCCAATTTCCTCGCAGATTTTGCCGAAAATTAGGCTTTGACCAAATCTTAATAGGCCTATGTAACCAATGCAATTATGCAGCAATTACGATTCCAATTTTTTACTGTAGGTATCCTCCACGCAATTAAAAAACTATAAATTGTGGGACTAGCCTACAGTAGGCCTGGTAGGCCTAGGTCCATACTGTGTGTAAAAAAAGTGTGTTAATTGCATGGATGGTTCATCAAAAACTAGCTTAAATTAGTGCCGGAAATGGAAAATAGGTGCACAGAATCGTAACTAACTAAGCCTAACTCCTATCCTACATAGCCTAGGGGAGGTGACAGACGATCGGGTCCATTTCCAGACAATCGGGCCCAACTAGTGTGGAAGATCTGGTAAATAGCAATGATGGATGTCGATGGAGTCCACCTACAGTAGGCCTAGTGTGGAATATTGCGTTCTAAATTCATTTGACATCGGATATTAAGAATCGTTATTAAAATGATCATATTATTTCAGTATGACTACCTGTATCTATAAACATCAACAAATACAAATGACAGTCATGGGTTGAAGTTATTTTGCCTACCAATAATCTTGCGATCACTCCCAGTTTCAATATTTAAATCATCCTGGGCCAAATCGTCTCTAATTAAGCCTACGGCCTACACACTCGTTATATATCAAGAGATAGTCCAATACCTAATTTCCGGCAAAACCTCTGTAGAAATCAGTCTTATTTTCAAAAATGCTCGTGCATATCTCTAGACCTAAGTGTTGTGCACAGAGGATAGACCCACAGTATGTATTCCCTGCACAGACCTTGTATTACAGTCTGGGCCTTGGCTACAGTAGGCTAGAGTGGGAAACAAGTCTATATAGAAAATATTATTAATGAACTGCGGATGCAGCTGACTTAGGCTAAATTTCACCCCAGCTGCATAATAATAATAATAATTATAATAATACCAGTGGTCCATGGATTACATTATCTTGGAGTTGACAAAAATCCAAATTAGGTTAAAAGGTAAATCTTGCACTGTCACAAACTATAGAAATCAAAAAATTATAGTTCCATATTTGAATTTCCTATTAATAATTTTAATATTTTAAATCCAAAATAAACAGGACTTTCTACATACATAAAGCTATTTAATTTAATTTAATTATTTTTACTATTAAGCCACACTGAAACAAGTAAAAGTAAATGCCACTGTTTTTATATTTTTAATTTTAAGTTTGTTTTACAAAATTATATTCATTAAAATAAGAATATCATAACAATGTTGATTTTAAACATTGGAATACCTGCCAACCATATGATTTAAATTTCTAATCAATGTTAAATGTTTTGGTTTTTAAAACCACTTAAAATCAGGACTTCCTGATGCGTCAAGATGTTACAATGTTTTCTATGCCAGTTTGATGGAACTTGGAAATTTCTCTAGATTTGGCTTATTATATGCTCAGATTTATTGAAACTGTTTATCAAACAAATTATTGACAACTCAATTCATTGTTTATTGAAGGACTTTCGAGTAATTGTCATGCTTTATTTTTTTTCCTATTCTTTCGGTGCCCGGAGCGGGCCAAATGGCCGAGCGATTAAAGCAGGGGCACCGTGATCATAGCCAACAATATCGGCACGGGTTCGCGGCCGGCTCGCTCCTATAGTTCTGGTGGTGGAACAAGTCTTCTCGGATAAGGACTATAAACCGTAGGCTCAGTGTACACAAATGCTCATGTGGACTTTAAAGAACCCAGTACATCTTTCGAGATGAGTAGGAGGTTACCCCGGTGTACTGGTTCATTTTTCACCTGACGTGGACAGATGAAAGTGCGCCGGTTTAATGGCTGCTGAAGACATGAAGTTACCCTTAGGGGAGGAGAAAGTTATTGTAAAGTGCAACATCTAGTCCCGAGCGCATAGAGACCATGTATTATGCGCTATATAAGTCTCCAACCAACCAAGGAAAATGTGTCTGTAAACTGAAAGCATTGCAGAAATCCCCTATTTCACAATTTGGCATTATAAATAGTATTTCAGAAATGTATAAATCCAAAATTAATGGCAACAAGAAGGCCAAAAGTTTATGAGGACAGTCACAGGAAACAAATATTTGTTGCAGTTGGCCTAACACCTACACTACTTGGCAATTGTAATAACACACACAGTTACAATTGTCAGCCGTTAATCCTGTTTACAATAATATCAGCTAACCTGTAGCGGCTATGACAACTGTACAAACAATTAAGGAAGTTACTTAGTTCCTCTCTGGTAGTGTCAAACTTTCCTTTAAGTAGTTCAAAAGAAGTCAATTGTTTCACAATAAGTCTGCGAGTTGTTGTATACGATACTACGTGAAAATATCATTACTGTACAGTATGCGTAATAAATTTTCCATTTCGGGATCTTTACATCAGAGGCGTAAAAAATCACGTAAGGATAAACAAATTGTTAACAATTCCCTGCATTGGAGTGGTAAGTAAAAGGATCAATGCAACTATGGTTCACACTGTATCACCAAAAAGTACTGCACAGTACAATGTATACAGTCCTGTGGCAGATGGGTTCTGTAAAGTGCAGATAACATAAACATAACATACAATATAGTGGCAAGATCTATAAGACTGTGTCTAATTTAAATGAAGCTATTATAAAATTACTATCTTTTTTGACATACAGTAGGCCTGTGTTGTACAGTTTGCTTGTAATTGATCTACAGTGCTATGCAAAAACATGTTTCAATAGTGTGAAATATTAATTTGTTCCTTAATTTTAGTGTCTATAGTATAGCATTTAATCAATTTGTAAATTGTAATGTTCACCCTTTGTTTAGGCCATTTGAGCTGTATATTTGTTTGTAATCACCTAAATGTTATAAATTATATGAATTTTTGTATGATCCCTTAGTGAATATGTAGTCTAAATGTAGTGATTGTTCAGTGCCTTTTTTAAAGTTTGAATGCTAGGGCATTGATACAACATAAAATTGTATGTATGTAAGCGCATTATAAAATTTTTACTGTTTTTTTTATTTCCTTCATTATTATAAATTGCTTTATTATTATAAATTGTTTTACTTTTCTTTGAATTTTTGTTATATTACTTTTATATTTTTTATTAATAAATTTCATTTCAGACATCATTTCTACCATCAACTTTCATTTTTCGCAATTTTTGTTAAGAAATAGAGGTTATCAAAATTGGCACTATGATGCGTTCAATGCGAGAACGTTTATCTTTCAAAAAGCGAGGCAGAAAACACAAGAAGATAGTCAATGAAGATCCTGCAAAGAAAAGTACCTTGTATATTTTTTTTTTTTTTTCGTTTGCTTCAAATATCCTAATCTGCAATGCTCTTTGCTTTTTCCCCATTAAAAAAAATTCTCCTTCGCTTTACTACAGTATGTTTTTCGCTTTACTATGTTTTTCGCTTTTTGTCTACTTTATATCTTCTTGGCAATGGTTGCACACACTCATTTTATTATCACTTGGCTTTTGGGGAGTTCACTAACATTTCATTTTGAATCTGATCATCTTTTCTACCTTTGTTCTGTACATCCTTACCATCATTACCATTTATTATTATGCTGATAGTTGATTTAAAATAATGATTACTGGGAGCACATTGTAATCTAAATTGTGATGCCAAATTTACCACATCGTTTTTTTGTTTTTTTTTAAACTTACCATAGTGTCCTACTACCAGGAACAAAATTATCAAAATACTGATTTTGCTAAACATGCAGTAAATTCTAAAATGATCATCAGATTAGTTTCACTCCCCTCTGCCCCTGCTTCTTAAGTTAAGTTGTAGAGGTTAATACTGTAATGACTGGATGGCTAGTCACCATTGATTATTAACAATTTTTAACCAATAAATATCATTTAGTTTTTACTTCCCCATTATAATCTAACATACTGTATTACTGTACAGCGCATATCTCCTGTTTAGAAAATATGTAGCATAATTATGTTCCTGGGTGGTGGTTGTTTATTGTGTTCTTGGTATGTGGATTATTGTTTAATTTTAACCCATCAACATCATTATATTTTTTTTAACATGGTATGAACATTCTACTAGCACACAGCATCACATGGATGTTGTTGCTACTGTAAGTTGTTGGACCTGAACATAAACATATGCTCACTGCATTTGTGTGTTTGTGGGAAGAATATTCTGATAATAGTCACATGTTGAGTTTGAGTGACTTTCCCATAGGGTCCTAAGGCCCAATAAAAAAGTTATTAGTTTATCACCCTCACACGCACACTGTATCTTCCATGAAAAAAAAAAATTAGAATTTTTTTTTTTGGGTGGGGGTGAACTTTTTTTTTTTTTTTGGAGGGGGTGGGGGGAAAGCTGGGAAAAGTATTATTTTTTCATATTTTTTTATTAAATAGTTAGTAGATATTGTTTGTATCTCAATCATGTTTTACTTTGAATATCAATGCACCAGCAAACAACACAAAGGTGATATTTGGCTTCAGCAAAATAAAAAATTTTAAAAAAATCCTCCCTCCCTCATCACTTTTCCAGCCTAAATAAGAGTGATAAACTAATAAATTCTTTTATAGGGCTTTCTAAGATTTGAACCCAGTTATTTTCTTAATGAGGTATATAAACGCAGTGTACAGTAGCGTTCAGCTGTATTGGATGCACTTAAATACTAAGTTTGGATATGAAATAGTACAGTACGTGCTTACTTTAACACAGTTCACAGTTCAATTTAAAAATACAACAGTATCTTAGAATGCATTATTATCAGATTATGAAATGAATTTGGATAATAAAATATGTGTGTGATACTGACTAAAAAGTCTGACAACATCTGTTATGAGAGTGTTCAAGGTATAGTATTGTATAATGAAATCACTTGTCATTGAATCATGTACTTAACAGGGTATAAGTGGTCAACTGTAAAATTGTAAAAGGGGATCATCGACTGAACCCATCACATCAATAAGCAAGTTAATCTAGCGAACAAGCTATTGAAACTTAATATTTTAAATCATAATCGTAAATTTTTAAAATGGTGCACTACAGTTTGGTTGCAGAAAGTAGAACAGTAATTGGGAAAGCAAACGATTTGTTCACAGTTATACAGTAGTTTTAAGGTGATTCAAAGGAATATTTGTTAACTAATCTTGTCATAAACTTAGATTAAATATTGAATCAATACAACATTGGTTTACACTTATAGTAACTCATGATACAGGAATCAAATTAAATTTTAAAAAAAACCTACAGTATTTATTTAATGTAGATTTTTTTTAACAAGCACACATATCACTGCAGTGAGACGGGAACATACCATGTTGTAGATCTACACTATACAATTTTTGCAAAATTGATTGTCGAATTAAATTGCGAAAATAAATTAACACTAGGCCGTCAAGAATGCAGCGCCGTTGACGTCAAAGCACCACGTGACCGTTTTTGTTGCTGAGCAACGCTACCCGACTTGACCACATGGTAGGTAGTTGCTCTGTAACGAAGCATTTTCAACAGTATAGTGGTGTAACAATGCAGTACTGTACTTGTTAACATTAAATATAATTCTATCTTGTCCATAAAATCGAGGGCTAAAGTTGAATATATTTTATTTATTCAAATTGTATCAGAGGTCATGTGCAAAAGAGATGGTCTTTGTGAGAGGGATCATACCATTGTCAAGTGATGGAGTGATGCCAACAGTAGCATGTCAGAGATAAAGTGCAATAAGTTAAAGTCCTTATTCAATGTCAACGAGATTAAATGGATTTGAAATAGAGAGCTAATTATACTAAAATCTAATATACTTTTTAATTAATTGTACACACTTGGCAACTCAAATTTTTAAGTACAGTATAGTACTACAGTAATGCCATCCCATTATCTTTCCAGGTGGTATACTATTAAAGCCATTAGCATTTATCTAAAACTAGCATTAAAATACTGTGCTGAATTTGGGGAGAGGGGGGAGTTAACATATTTTATTTTTATTTTTTTGCACACATCAGCTTTGTATAATATTTTAAAGAAATTAGTTACTAGGGCAACCCTGAACCAGTGAAATGTCTGTAAATTTCTTCCTTTTGCTTTGTAACTGTCAGTCTAAAAACACCATTGCGAACCCTTGAAATATAAGCCCAAAAGTTTATTTGCAGGATGAATCTTTGAAACATAAGAAATGCCCTTAACATTTGCAAACAGACCATACACCCTACAATATAATAACTTCAGTTGACTTTGTACCTGAATAGCTTTCATTGTGTCTGTAAATCTAAAGTGAACAATTATTATTTATTGAGATTCTTTTTCACGGATTAAATGCTATTATGACATAAGTACCTAGAATAAAATTGAATGAATAGTTAGTGTTGCCCCAGGCTGACTGAATTGCTGTACAATTGGTGCAAGTAATATCGGCCTCAAAGACCAAAAGAAATGATCTTTCTAGAATTTGATAAGGAAATGTTTACTTGAAATTGTACGCAACTCATAAGTCTTCAGAAATAGGTTTATGAGATTAAATTCCTAGATCAAAGTAGAACAGTAGTACAGTATGTCATAGTAGTTGGCAGAGAACCTATGATATTCGCTTGTGACCTAATACCTTGATTTACCCATGGAGGTACAGGTACTATATTACCTACCGTACAGTATGTCACTACAGTATATTTGTCTCTCCAAGTGGTTGTTTTGAATACAACAATAGTTATTTGCATATTTTGCCTTATATACAGATCTCAAATAATACACTTTACTGCTCTACAATAGTCATATAATTACAAAGAAGCATTCCAATTTCCATGTTGTTTCAGAAATCACAGTTGTTATTTATAGACTTATTTAAATTTAGAAATTTTGTTTTCCTGGTATGGGAGGAGGGATCAATCAGTTACTAAAAACCTGTAACTTTTCCTAAATAATCATGTCTGTAGCCAGCCATATTGTTTTGAAAATTATTGAATGTATAAAAGTGCATACCAACACTGTACTTTTATTAAATTGAACTCCTGCTTTGTTATGTAAAGAAAAAAAGTGTAATACGATATTGGTTTGTAGTGACATGGTTTATTTCCTCATGCATGTACTTTTGATCTCACTTCATATAATATTCCTTTGATCCTCATGTATTTAGAGTTTCCCAAATTATTACTCTTTGACTACAGTAAATTATTTCATTTATTGGCACAAAAGTTAATTAATGATTAATTGGAATAAAAATAAACATCAAATTTAATTGTGTCAACCTTCATTCATAATTGGCAATGACTAATAACTTAAATAAAATAAAGAATTTCGGTTGGCCAATTGAATTGATTTGAAAAATCATGTGTACTGTAAGCTCGTCTATAGAGTTGTTATCATGTAGTCATTTAAACAAGGAATTTATAAACGAACATTATAAGTGCTTTGACACCTGTATTCTTTAAAAAAAAAAAGGGGGGAAAACATCATATGCTTGAGGCCATATGAACAGGCAAAAAGTATAGTACTATATAGTACTATATAGTACTATATAGTACTACATAGTACATAACAACATTCAAGCCTAAAGAATATCAGTTGCCCATCAACCTTGTGTATTTCTGATTGGTTCATAAAGCCAGTGGTGTCTCCTTGCATTGTCGATATCCTTGAATGGCTGTTTGCATTGTCTGGTCCTACCTGTTGTACTACAGTACTGTGCTAATAATAGTACATTGTACAGTAATTGATGTGTACACTGTAGCACCTTTCATTCTTTTATTTGTTTAAATAAATGTGTTAATTTAAATAGACACTTTGAACTTTGGTCAGGATAGCCTCAAACTCGGAACAAGATTGAATTTGCATTGAAATACAGTATAGGCCTACCTAGATATTTTCATAATACATACCTTATTGGTCAGCCCTAACTTTTAATAAAATTCCTTTACCAAAATGCCAGTGGCAGATCCAATAATTCAAAATAGAGGGATCTCAGCTGGGAGGGACTAAATTGCTGGAAATGGCACTCTCAGACTTAAATCTTAATGTTTCATTTTCTCTCCATTAAAAAAAATAATTTTTCATAAATTTAGTGCGGGTGAGGAGGGACTCCCCCTTGAATTCGCCACTGCATGCTTTACCCAGATATAAATAATTTGAAGTACTGTACTATCCAGCGGCTCCTTGCACATTTTCTGATTTTTCAAGACTTGTGTTTTAGTGTTGTTATTGTATCATGATATAAAATTACTTTTCAATTTTTTTTTATCATTCATTACAGTGTACATATAAGGGATATTTTTTTGCTGATAAATTATCAATGTTATTGAAGTTGTGTTATGGTTTATTTATTATATTTAATGGAATAATTTGAGTATTGTTATCTTTTTTGTGCACTTTTGTATATATCTCTGACTGTAATTGTAATTGTCACATTGCCTCTTTTCTTCCTGATCCTGCATAGTGTTTTTATGGTATAAAAATCATCACTAAAAACTGTACTTTTGATTCTAACAATCTCTATAATAAAATTCTCATCTACTGTATCTACAGTGTGTATATTATATGTAGTAATAGATCATGCTTCTTGTAGTCTTGTTTCTCTTCTATAACAATGATACATCATATTTGTTTAAACTGTTCTATCTGTGCTCAATATTTTACATTATTGTATCAATTCATAATAATGAATGTCATAGAATTTTACAGTTGTAGACTTCAATGTGTAGTATGCTTTATTTCATTATTAATTATTAATAATCATGGTTACTAAACATTATCCTTAATGAACATATTTTCCAAGGACTTCTTGGAAATTAAATTGTAGAAGTAAGTCCTGTCTAGGCTATCAAATTTTATTTGACAAAATCATGTGACATGCCTAAATATGGTCATGATGACATCACATCATTACCATATATAGGCACATCATTACTATATATGGGCATACAGCAGTTTTTTGTCACATAAAATTTGATAATCTGCACAGCGCTTACACAGATGTTATGTTCCAAGACTTCACAGACAACAGGATATACTTATTGTGAGCATTGTTGTAATGATTGGGTCGCAAAGTCCTCGAAAGGTTGTTACTTGCCTGATATCTAATCGGAAAAACTGGTATCAGGCTGTTTAAGGCCAGGCAAGGGTATGATGAAGGTCAGAATAGATTTCATTTTTTCAGCCTACGCTGATCCTTCATGATGGCTAGTCATATAATGTTCAATCCTTAAGCACTCCCTCTAATAATGTATTTTAGTGATTACCGTCTAATCTTTCTATTTATTAACACTAATTTGAAACGTTTGTTTATCGCAGCTGTAGGTAACGGTTCACGTACCATGGTAGATGATGGGGAGGTGGCCGGGACCCAACAATTTGAAGCGACTTCACCTCAAGTAACGCATACTAAAAAGAAGTCCAGGTGGTCAGTGATTCTGAAACCATGGAAGTGGAGGAAGAGGAAAAGCCAAAAAAAGAAGAGCAAGAAAGAAGCCGCTGCGGCTGCCACAGAAGCTGCAAAATCTGGTACCGTGCTACCTATTATTATATTTAAAATTTAACCTAAGCTTTTGCTATACTTGCCTACTTCCTTGTCAAGTAATCAATCAACAGGGTATTAAAGCACAAATGTCTATGTCAGAATATAAAGCCCAATAAATGTTTTTTATTAGTTTATGATATTGAAAAAAATATTTATTTTTGAAAATTTTTTATTTTGTTAATTTTTGTTAATTTTTTTTATAGTTATTACAGTATTTTTGAAAATTCTTTTAGTGAATAGATAGTAGATAGTGTTTGTATATATCTCAATCATGTTTTACTTTGAATGTCAATGCACTAGCAAACAACCCAAGGGTGATATTGGCTTTAGCAAAATAAAAAATAAAAAGCCTCACTCCTTCATTACTTTTCCAGCCTAGATACTCTAGGGTGATAAACTAATAACAGATTTTTATATGGCCTAATGTTCAGTGGTGCTATGATGGTAGCATTTCTCAGAGTGTGTCTAATTAGCTTCATATTAAGTTTTTTTTTTTATTAATTTATTTTTGAGTTAACATTACACATAACAATACATAATATAATGTAACACCTCAAGGATAGATATTCATGGAGAACTTCCATGCTTCTTCTCTTGCAATAACAAATAAAAATAATTAATGGTTTGATGAATCATATGGAAGGCGGTTTGGCACAGTGATTTCCATTGAGGTTGTAAACCTCGTCGAGGGTTCAAACCACACGCTGACCATTCTCAACCGGTCATGCTTAGTTACCCTAGCTTGCACTCTTGACGGGTTGTGAAGTGCCTCTCGCTGTGTTTCAGGCCTAGGCGTGAGTATTTAATGGCTTATAAATTAAATAAATGTAAATATTGTGGCTGCCTCTCATCAATATTGATCGTAACATTAGGCCTGATATACCAAGATATACAAAAAAAAAAATATTGGGTGATACAACTATAAAAAGCATCAAATAGCAAGGTACAGTAGTTCTTGGTAAGTTGTTGAATAATCAGCATGTTAAAATTATACTATAGCACTTGAAATATCCTGCTCAGTAGTACTGATTAATAGTAAATGGGAAAATGAATAGGTGTTTACAATGAAAACAGGATGTACGGTTCTGTATGCGTATTTGGATTCAGTGCTGCCTTTTAATGGCCTTATTTTTCCTATATTTTAATCCTGTTCTGAGCAGACCTTGGAATATATTTGCATAAAGACAATTTTGATACTAATTTAAATTTTGTCTTTTAAACTAAATTGGCTTTGCCAATAATAAAAAGTCATTCTGCGTTTATAAATAGGTAGGATTAGTGGTGTTGAGCATAGTATTGAAATACTAGCTATGGCCTGGTAACACAAATTCATAGCCATGTATATTTAGAGACAATACCACAACGAACATGTCGGAGGTAACACGATATTACTGTATATGTTGCATTTTCACATGCAAGAGGGTACTGTATTCCAGTGTATTATGGAAATAGACAATTCCTCATGGATTATTCGGCAGAGACATGTAAAACGTTATCTACAAAGAGGTCCTTTAGAAAAAGTAATGACAATGTAACTATACATCCTCAATGATTACCTCCTCAACTTCCCATAACATTTAACTATATGCCTCGCCAACTTTTCACACTCAATTAACACCGTGTAAAGTACGGTTATATGCTAGTATCATCAAAAATAATACTAATAACAAATCAAATAAATACATATAAGATAAAAGAATTTTAATGTGTGGTTTCTCACCTAGGATTTTATTTTTAAAAATGAGAATGAGATCAGTACTTAGTAGAAAGGGACTGTACTGAACTATTACCATGTACAGGCCAAAATAGCTCTTAAATGAAACATCATAGCTGCATTTTGGACCACTTTTCCAATGTGCTGAACACCAGCATCCCTATTCTTACACACTGATTCTGTTTTCCTGATCGGTTCGGTAGACCTTCCAATACGAAAATTAGGATTTTGGAATGCAGCTTTATACTATTGAATTCTCTGATTGAGTTTTGTATTGAATGTATGTAAACATGAAAACCATCTTGTACTGTATAAACATTCTATCATTAAACTTTCATTTTTGTCTCATGATGTAGCAGAAAAGGAGAAATTGATGCCGGAAGAGAAAGTGGAACAGACTGAAGGAATTGCGGAAAAGGAAGATGATAAGATTCAGACACCAGAAGGTAATGACATCTCTAAGTTACAATGTAAATGCAGCTTTTTTCCCAATTTGTTCTTTTACTTTATAATTAGCATTGAAGCTGTGTTCTAGTGCACCCATGATCACATGACTTCATTTCGGGTACATTTCAAAAACTTGTAAAAGTGGGATCATGGATGCACTTACTCACCATCCTTATGCAATGTTTCTATTGTAATTTTTAATGACAATTAGCACAATATACAGCATGTAGATCGTGCATTGTTGATGTTCATTTTGTATCTATAGACCATAAAACAAAGTTATATTTTGAATAGTAATACTGTAATGATAATGACAATGTAGGCATATAGCACCTGTAGTACGTACTGTAATATTGTACAATATCGTATAGAAAACTACAGTAAGCATAATAATGATGATGATTAATAAAACAATGATTGATGATGTAGTGATGGTGGTAATTGGTAATTTTAATTTATTCTACTGATAGTCATACTCATAGTTATACACATGACATTCAAATCTATAGTATGTTGTCAATTACTGCAATGTTGGGTTTTACTTTTAGTTTCATTTCCTCTGAGCTATACTTAGTAAAGTACTAATGTAGTACTGTAGTTTAAATTTCATGTACTTCAAATTTTGTTTTAGTTTTGTATATTCATCTGATAAAAGTTCTCAATTTCTGTATATTTGGGTCTTCATCAACATGACATGAGTTTTGACTTGACTTAACTTGGCATTCTTTTAAAAAATGGCTGCTGTTTTATTAAAGTAACAAAACATGATTTCAACTAATTTCTTATAACTACAGTACTTTGTTGTTTAAAAAAAAATCTGTTTTCCTCTTCAGATATGCATTTTGTTTATGTTCCTCCTTATTCTTATTTTGAAACTACAGGTTAATCAATTTTTCCATTTCTTCTATTGTTATATTGTTTATTTTCAATCTTGTTCTCTTCATTCTTTTGAATTTTGTCTGCTCTAGTTCAGAATTATCCATTGTTATGTTGTTTTCTAAGCTGTGTCCTATATAATTTCATAATCACTCACTTGATTTAATGCGACTAAGTATCAAAGTATTTTTGGCTTGAAATAACCAAAGAGCTTCTTACAGTTATTTTAATCACATCCTCTGATATACCGGAATCCAGTAGTCAAATATATCAACATGTTTCCTGGACTGCTCTCTGCTGTTGATAATCTTTTGGTTTGGTGCATGAGTCGTCAGGATGAGTGTCAATATGCAAACAGAGCAGGGATAATTCCAGCTGACTTTCCTCACATCCGACTATGTGAAACATGGATAAATTGACCTTGATGTTTCTTTATAACACTATAGAAGGCTAACAATGAATAAAGGATGCTAGTGTTTAGCTCTTGGGCACTAGAAGTGATTATAACAGATAAAAAGTTTTAATTTTCTGAATTAATATCTGGGTATAATCATAGTGAAAAATCACTATAAATTAAATGAGAAGGGTCAAATTTACCAGATTATCACTGACTATGCATAACAGTAAAAAAAAAAACAGTTTTGCCAAATTTTACCAATCCTAACATTCAGACATTCAGAGATAGTTTATTAAGTAAAATTTGTTTATTTTTTTAAACCTGTTAGTATTCGGTAAATTAAATAGGTATAATGTAAGGTTGAAAATTTATAAATATTATTATTCATTGGCCATATAGGACTGGTCTTTCTTCGTTAAACCATGCCCACCTGCGAAGATGACCAGTCGAATAGAAAACTTGTAAATACTCGACACAAAACAAAATGGCTGTATAGTTACTGTGATACACGTTGCGTAATCAAGATTGCTTTAACTTGTAATAGTATGGGTTTTTCGTTTAAAAAAATATTTTCATCCAGTTTTTGAATTTTGTTAGCCTACAATTATTTTTGGACTCCATGTGGGTAAATATTATAATTTTTATTTTATGAAAGTTATATTAACGCAAATGTTGTTTATAGACTCACCAATCGGCCGTGTTTTTTTTGGTCACGTGGATAACTTAACACACTCTGGTTTACGTTAATTTCGTTGTCAACGAAGTCTATTTAACGAACCAGTCGAATGAAAATAATACTCAACGAAAATTCGTACTCAACGAAGTGAACCAGTCAAATAAGCCCATTGTCTGGCCTTTTGATCTTATGAACTTGAATAAACAAAATTATGTATTTCAGTAGTATTGCAGGATAGCTTTTAATTGAAAATTATTTTCCTGACCGATTAATAGACAAAGTATTTGCCTAAATAATAATATATATTTCATAAAATCTTCACATTTGCTGGCAATTTTTTAAAATCTTAATGTATAAAACTAATCAAAATTAAATAATTAACTGAAAATGAAATGAGCTCGGGACACAATTTACATGATAGTAGGAATGATTAGATTTTTGATGGCGACTGTTGTCACACCAGTTGTACAGTGATATTCACTATTCTCAAGATTGCAATTGAATCTGTTAATTTGTTGTGCCGGTCAATTACACTTATTGATTTTTTTCTGTTATAAGATGGCTTCACATAAGCTCACTAGCCCACAATTATTACAAGACCATTTTGAAAATCAATAGGGCTATCAGCGATGGAGATTGGATTAATAATAGTATACCTTGAGTGCCTTTTCTCAAAACTTAGTTTTGGGGTATCACAGTATTTTAATCAATATTTTAATTCAGTATGAAACAAGTTAGTTAATTCACAATATGTCTCATAATTGTCATATTCTACATTCCTTTGCCTTTAACTACTCTTGACTCGAATGTGGCATTTTTGAATGTCGGGCTATTTGTAAGATATGATGGATGTGACACAGTATAAAAATACACCACCATCATGAAGACTTTGCTAGTTGTTACTGTTATTAAAAATATTTTCAGATAATTATGTTAAAAAATATTTACATGGCCACAACAGGAAACATGGACCACAAAATTAGTCTTGGAATTAAAAATGAAGAGCACCACACTCACTAGTGCTTGTCAATATCATCTACTGCCCTCTTGTGTTTGAATGTTGAAGCCATTATAAATATTTGCATGCCATTCAAAATTATTACAATTTTGGCCAAGTAAAGAAATTAAATGTTTTCTTGTTCCTCATTGCTTCAATTTTTACTGTTGCTTCAGTTTTTATTTTATTTATTTAGTTAATTTATTCACAAAATTCTGAATTGCTATAGCGAATTAAAATAGTATTGATCTTGATCCTCTACGGCGACCTTTGCAGGTCAGGCAGGTTCAACGAATAATAGCCTACCTTTACCAACTTGATCTGAAAAATTTGACAACCGTAAAAAAGCTTCCTTTCTTCTTTTTTTTTTATAATATATTAATAGTGCAGTATATAAAAATGATTTTAATAACATTATTAATTAGTACAATTCGTACTACTGTATGTGGGTGTGGCTGGTAATAAGTATTTGCTTGGAGATGGGTTGCTCTCATTACCATTAATATTTATTTGTACGTCACGATTTGAAAGCTAATTCGCACAGCTTCATAGCAAGATTGAGGGCTCCACTTAATTCAGTTAGGTCGTATGTACATAAATACACTGTGTCATGTATACTAAATTATCCTGACTGGCCTATAACTGGAGGAGGTGTGTACCTGTTGTGGGCTGGCTGCCAAGAAGCTCATCTGTATGAGCTCATTATACCTCCATGATGAAACTAGATCCAAACTGTGAAAGCATTGACTGTCTGGTGTTTCTAGAATATCTCAGATTGCTTCAAGGAAGTGCAAGTGGTAGTGGACTGTATTTGGAAATGTTTAGCCTGTTTCGTAAACTAAAAGGCGGTAAGATTTCTAGAAATAGAGTTAGAATTAAGGAAGTTTTGTGATCCTTATTGTAGTCTTAAGTTACATCAATTAATGGTACAATAGCCTTTGAGATAATTTACCATATTTCCAGAATAATGTGTGTAGACCTACTGTACCTTTTTAAAAATATTTATAATTTTGTACTGTACACTGTAGTTCTAAATTTATGATTTTAGGTTTTGCAACTTTAACGCAATTAAGCTTAACAACATTTACCTTCAGTTAGTACATTGAATGGTAGGTAGTCATTAGCCCTAGGTCTGACTAAGTGAATGAATGTGGACCCTACTTTCCATTATATTAATTGTCTCGATTTCAATAAGTAATTTGTTTCACCAAATTAGTCAAAAAAAAAATCTTTGTTTCCCATCCTAGGTTTGTTTAAAAATAGTGTTGAAAATTGCATCAAGGCGTCTTGAAATTTTGCAGGACTATTAAGTTGAATTCAATTAATCGCCAACGATTCTGTCTTTGCGTGGTCTGTGTGTGAAAAAATGCATTACAAACCACAATACATGTTATAAATTGTAAAAAATGTATGTGGGTGTGTATACAGTAGGAAGCAACTAAGTTGGTTATTTGGTGTTATACAGTAGGCAAAGCTGTGTTGTTGAGTATATTTTGTTTCACATGGAGATGGGACTATTAAAAATTAAATATTTTTTTCATTCATTTTACATTTTTCCTTCTTTACAACAGTGAGTGGGTGACAAAGATGAAATATTCCAATTCCATATGATCAATGGTTTAACGATGATTATATGACAATTAAATATGAAAATATCTCTATTCATTAATTCATCAAATTCATCCATTTAAATAAATCAGTGAATTTGCAATAAATCAGTGAATTAGTCAACATGCAATGTACAGTACACCTTGTTGGTAGGCCCCATTTGTTTAATTATATATAATAATTCTGTCATTGCCTAGTTATGACCCACTTTCCAATATATCATCTGATTTCTCATCTGCTACAACAGTTCTATAAATATACTGTATCTCTTGGCATCCTCGTACAGTATACTAATTGACGTATGCAATTTTTCATTGGCATTCCTCATTCTAACATAATGTACTTGTATAATTCTTATGTATTTTTAGATTTTATGGAGGCACATTCAACAGTTAATAAACTTTACTGATGATTACAAGGTTTATAATACAACACATGATGTGATTGGAGCTGCAACTACATGAATTAGTGGTTTCAGTCTCAGGGTCCTTGGGGGAAAAAAAGCCAATAAAAGTCCTGTTAAATCCTGTTAAGTCTGTAAATGAGCCCAAATAATCTAATGAGGCTTAGTTAAATAGATCATTACATAGAACTTTCCATCGTGTATGTTTTATGAGCTTACTAGATACCTGGACATGTTTTTAAATGTCAAGGTATCAAGATTTTAACAATAATAATTTATTAGTACAATAAATTTATTTAGTTTAAACCAAACACAATTGACAAGTTAACCTGTGCAGGCTTTCATCATGTTGTCAACGTGGCTTAATCAGTTGGTATGAGCTAATTTATTATCGATTAAACTAGATAAATTATCAACCCAAATAAAACTTTCAAACATTCATGAAATAATGGTTAAAAAAATATATTAAATTTATTCTTTTAAAGCAAAAAATGCACTTGTATATTATAGGCCTATTAGGATACTTCAGACGTCATGATTTTGGGTATTACCAGTATGCTACAACTTTATATTGTAAACAGTTTAACTGACTGTCAGTTGACATCATCATTGTGTACAAAGCCACCCACTCGTTTTGAAAGAATGTTTTTCTATGCTATATTAAATAACCTTTTAGTAGATGAGAGAGAGATAGAGGAAGAGAGAGAGAGAGAGAGAGAAAAAAAGCAAGTGAAGACTATCTACTATCATCTGACTACTCCCCTATCTAATGTACTTAAATTTTGAACATCACAATTTTACGTTCAATAGGCCAAAACAGTATACACAAAAATACGATGAAGCTGGCATTGACTGCCAGCGAAAGCTTGTGTTGAATAAATTACATCAAAGTTAGTCTCAGAGTGCTGCCTTTTATAATCTGTGTATATTGTTTAGACTAACACGGCTTCATTACAACTTTTACAAAAATACGAGGAACTGAAAATAAATAAAAGTGACTGCTTAGGATTAAGCACTTCATATTATGTAAATCTAAATAATATGAAGTATTTAATTAATTTCAAAAATCGAAGTTAATCCACAGCAGTCATTTTTATTTATTTTCAGTTTCTTTGTATCTCAAAATTTGTGATTTCTGTTTTTACCTGTATTTTTGGGGGTTTTTTTAAATTCTTATATTTTACAACAAATTTCCAGAAGAACAAATACTTTTTTTAAGTGAATTCTTTTGAATATCTATTGATGAACTCTAAATTGTGTACTGTAGAATCAACAATTTGTACTTTACTGTACGTTGAAACATTTTCAATTCCATGTTTAGAAAAAAAAAAGCAATAGTCACGTCCTCATCGTCAGTCATCGACCATCCCTGCTATCTACAATGAGTTTTTAATATATTCACTTTGAAAACATTTTGAAATTACTTCCTTCTTACGGTAATTGGAATTTTGTTCCCTGTTCACCATGGAAGAAGAACAATATTATTACAAGGATTAATAATTTACAAATCATCATCATTAACATTGTGAGCTATGAATATAACTTCTGGTATCATAATTCACTTACACTGAGATATATATTGGCACTCTTTGAAGTCTTCCATGTATGGTACATAAAGCTAGCTGGATACCACCACTGTTGATATCACAGCCAGCATGCACTTGTACCCCATGCTGTACTGGCTTAGCAGTGATGTTAGTCTACTTATGATGTAGGCACTAAGCTCATCCATAATGACGTCTTCTGCCATTTGCTTGTCAACGGGCAATGATTATACTAATTATGGTAATTTCTCAATAGTATCTCAGGTTTGTTACAGTAGAAAAGTGCTGTAATTTGCATAATACATAACATTTTGGCATAATTTATAGGAATATAGACAATATATTTTGATCTGTAATGTGAATCACTCAGGGTTGTTTTGTTTTTCTGGACACTGAAGACAATAACAAACCAATTCTCTACTCTGCCGAATATAACATGACTATCAATTGAGGGCTTCCATCATGATAGGTTTTGTAAAGCATGCTAAGCATATTGATCAGACCTTGTCTGAAAGTGCTTTTTTCTGATTTGATCTGTTGTTGTACATATTGTAGAGTCAACAACCAGATTTCATATTACTGTAAATGTGACAATAAAAATTATCTTATCTGTTGAAAGTTGGACAACTTGTTATCAGACAAATTTTGGTCAAAAAATGGTTTATAGTGATTTATGTTTTCAGTGATTCATTTAAGATGTGTAAACTTATAATAACTTAAATTGCTGTGGTTAATGTCATGTTACTTCCATGAATTGTAAGCGGTGATTTTTTTTTTAGTTTAAATACCAGATTTTACCATAGACTGGATCTTTAATGAAACATCAATTTTCCAATGATAAATTTACATGACTATATTTATCTCATTAATTTATCACTATCTGTTATAGATTCCTCAGGAGAAGATGGACAGAAGGCTGTAACGACACAAGTAGAAATCAACCATATGTCAACTGAGAAAGAAAATCCAGATGAACAAGGAGGAGATGACAGTGAGGCTGAATCCACTCCACCGGAGAAACCTCCTCTAGACCCCTCATTTAAGGGGGTTAAACAGAACTCTCCACCCCCACTGCCTGAGAAAAAGGGGGCAGAAGATCATACCGGTTCTTCATTGAAACCGGTCCTCCCACCAAAGAAAGGAGGTGCAAAATCATCGCCTGTGTTACCAACCAACATGAACAAAAGCACAGATTCACCTCCGTTGCCGCCCAAGACAGGTAAAGGTATGGCATGCACTAATCTTATTAACACATGCAACTAACCTCTACTAAAGCTTGTCATAATATACTAAAACTTTACTATTAACCACTTATTATACTAAGCTAACACTTACAGATGCACTATTTATCTGTTGCTAATAACTTCCACTGCACAAGGTATAAAGAAAGTCTTGCATAAAAATCATTATCTATTTTACTAGAAATATTAATAAAATATTTCCTTGCAAATTAACTGATGTATAAGTATGGTACATAATAGTACTGTAATGTAGTTCCTGATGAATTACTGACTCCTTGATTAGCTGGTAGACAGTAAGAATTTTCTTTATAAATCTAAAACAGTAAATTGTAACATGTAGTTGTTTCAATCTGTTTCATTTTAAGATTTGTTTTTTTGTTAACCTACTAATCACTGAAGACTAACAATATACTACTAAACTACAAGCATTGATGTTTTCTGTCTTTCATTTATTTATAACAGTAATTTGTAGTTTTTAAGATTTTATTTCACTTGAAAAGTCTCAACTCCCTTACTTGAGCTGGCATCGCCAACTTTGCAGTGCGTGGTAGTAGAACCGATGCTTATTAGGTGGCAGCTACTAGAACCGAGCGTACTGACACCAGGGTACCAGTGTGTACATGATTGTGGTGGCAATGCCATTCTAACATTATTAGTCAATTCTTCCCTCCCTTTTTGTGCTCACAATTTGATTCAATTTATTAATGTCACTTTTGGCCGTCGTCATTACTAGAGCGACTTGTTTATTTATCTGTTTTTATGGCATGATTTCATGGTCTGAATGCTGTTAGACACTTTGAGATTGTGCAAGGCGCTCTGCAAATATAGGCCGGTACTTATATTACCATTCTATCTGGAAAATGCATTGAAAAAAAAACATTGAATAATTAATAACATACGTAACAAAGATAGATGTGAAATGCATTGTACACTTCCTCATTTTTAATCAACAGTTACATTATTTTAAAAACATACATTAAGTATTCTACATTTTCTTTATCATGAATTATACCTTGTTTCCAATGAGTGGACTACAAGCCCATCTTATTATCTGACTGATTCCTAATCACATTAGACATAGCACTGTACCTTTAATAATAGCAAATGAAACTTAATATTAAATGTCATCAATCTTTATTGTAGCATTTCAAAATGGCAACTTATCATTCAATATGGAAACACCAAATAAGGGCATAGGATTTACAGGGTGAGTAAACCAATGAACATATTGAATTGTATATACTGATTACATACTGTCGGTTGCTGTCTACTGTGAACGCAGGTCATTACTCTGGAAAATTCTAGTAATTGATCATCTCATGTGATAGGACATACACGAGTGCACAGACATTGAGTTAACAGATATTCTTATACTGGTCAATGTAATCGTGTTTGTTTACATTCTCTAAGGCATTCCCTCAACTTAAAATACCTATCTGTGGATTCACAATTTGAATGTCCATATCAAGAACCCTATATTGTGTTCTTTGAACTCCAATTAAAGGAAGTTTACCTATATAGCATTTGAGAATATCAAATTTAATGACTTCAAAATGCTAGGCTTTGAAATATAGACTATGATGTCACATTGTGCAGTGAACCGTAGAGTTAAATTAGCTTGGCTTTTTGTAACTTAACTTTGTGCTCAACTAAAAACAGCACTTACTACCATCTCAAACATGGTTTGTCCAAAAAAGAATTTGTAGAAAAATCAGTAAAAAGAGAATTCTGATATCTACAGTTTGTACAGATATCAACTGCAATTTCCAAGAAAGTATGGAAGTAGACTGAATTGATTGATGGGTTGATCTAATCTACCTGATTTGTATCTATCTGTCTAGCTTGAACCATTGCCTTTCTATTGTAACATATGTTACTTTTGTAATAAAATCATAACCGATTATTTTTATCAAATGGCATTTCAGAGAAAAGGTAATAACACCAGCTGCAACATGCAATGGGGACATACACAACAACGACAGTGACCTCAGTGATTATGAAAATAATAGGAATTCAGATAGAGATGATGATTCCGATACTGACGATGAAAGTTACAATAGTGAGTCACAGTTTAGTAATCTACCTACAAAATATTAACATTTAGACTTGTGGTACAGAAAATTCTCTTTTTTGGATTAAATTAACATAAAATGAACTGATAACATAAGATAAACTTTTATTGTTCATCAAACATGCTGATAATTCATGATCCATTTGGCATTAAGTACAAAAACATTAAGTAAATTACATCACAAATAAATAAAAAAAATATGTGAGGAACATTCTGTATATGAAGACACAAAAGGTGCACATTCAATACTTGTAATTCATGAATAAAATATGAGTTAATATTTTGCTTTGTACATTTTTTCCAGAAAGCTTTGCTGCAAAAGTAAAACGAAATGATAGCTTAGCTTTCAAGTTAAGTAATAGGCCAGAAAAGAAGGCACTTCTTGAACGCAATATTATCCAAGATTCCGATGAGAAAGATTTCAAAGCAAGAAGGGAAAATGTTGGCACAGCCTTGGTCAGGTATGATCCATTTGTGTATTATAGCAACTAATTTTTATTTGACAAACAAATTGCTTATCATAGCATATAATTTTAAACAGCACTCATTTATCAAAGAAACATTGGTTTATCATAACAGTGTATTGTTTACCTTAACAACTGATAGTTATTAAAGCAACTGACTTGTTTATGATAACAATTAGAGTTAAAAGCCTATGAGTGGTCATTTGTTCGAAAATTCACTTCACAATGTACTATGGGATGTATATTCTTATTATCCAACAGACGGCTTAGTCAACGACCATCTAAAGAAGAACTACAAGAAAGGAATATTTATAGAGGTGAGAATCTTAGTCACATAATTAATGATCATATTTTCTGTTCTGTCAAAAGTGATATAATTACAAACTTCCTACAAATAGGAGCTAGATGTGCCCTGAAGCCAATATCAATATTTTTGGTTTCAATGATTCCAAATAATATGTTTATAATTAAGGAAGTGTATCATCTGAACTATGGAAATATCTACATCACAGTGGTCCCGGTTCAGTTACATCCGCTGCTGTCCTTTTGTTTCAGCTAGAGGGCTGGAATGCAAGTTTGCTAATCTTTCATATGAGATATTTAAGCTGTTCCTATGTGCAATAAGAACCATGTGCCAGTTTAAGTTGGGTCTACTTATTTACTCACTTGTACTCATTTTTGAACAATGATGCATTTGAAAGAAAACAATAATAAATAGATGCACAACTTCATGTGTTATTTTAACCTTAAAATTTACAAATTTGATATGTTGAATTACAAATATATATATATTTTTTTTCTTAGTTCCAAAAAGTGATGAACAGAAGCAAAAAGAAAAGGAAGAGACAAAGACAAAACTTGTTAGAAAGGTATAGTAGGTTAATTCCATTTTTTTTTATAGCATGAAGTGATTTTACAGGGATTTGAGGATGATTTGTTTTTCGATGTATTAAAAAACAAATTTTTTCTAGAACTATAATTTATAAAGTATAAGAGGAAAAAATAAAGACTAAAAAATCAAATAAATAGTAAATAATAGTTATAGTGGCCATGTTGTGCATACAGTTTCATAGTTTATTTCTTTATTAATGTCACATTCTCATTGTAATGAGGCCAGCCAATTCTGGCTTATAAGTTACAACATCAACATTTACAATATATAGGCCTATGCATTTAAAACAAATAGATAAACACCTGCAAGGATACAGATATTTTTAAAAATTTTTGTAAAATTTTGTTTGTTACCTTGGATATTAACCCTAAAGAATTAATAGAACCATTTACTGTACATAATTCTTACATTGAATTTTTTGTTTATTTCAGTTGAGCTTTAGGCCAACAGTAGAAGAATTAAGAAGACGGAACATTATTGGTTTCCAGGAGTATGTAGAAGTTGTTGATGCAGCTGAGTATGATAGGAGGGCTGATAAACCTTGGACAAAGCTAACACCTCAAGATAAGGTGAGTAGACAAAGAAAATGGTTGCTCTACTGTGAACGGATTTTTTACATTTATGAAGTTGGGTGCTTCATTTATGGAAATGAAGAATAACAATTTTATATATTTAATTTTTTGTACCCAGGCAATGATCAGAAAAGAACTAAATGACTTTAAGAGTGAAGAAATGGCTGTACATGAAGAAAGTAGAAAATTCACCAGGTATGGAGAACCTACTTTCTCTAAACTTGTTTCATTACTGAAAAAAATGTATAATTTGTCAGTGTATGGAGTGCCAGTAAACCAGAAAATAAATATAATTAAAGTGGAATTTGTGTAAAAAATACTTTCTCTTTAAAATAATTATCTAAATTTTTATCTCGACAATAATTTGCAACTTGTTTTTATCTTCCAGATTCCATCGCCCTTGATTTCTTCTTCATTGAAAATATATAAAAGACTTTTTATTACTTAAAAGATTGTGAAATACTTGAAAAAATTATTGCAAATTAAGAACTGTTGGACTTTGATATTGCTTCCATTAATTGTACAGCGCCCTCTTGAGTTGGGTGATAAATCATCCAAACAGCATTGTGACAAGCTTGAAGAGGAGTGCGTGGGTTTGGGTTTTTTTTATCGTGCATATGGTTTTATTGAAATTCCTGTACGAAAATTATAAGCCTAGTGGTAAATAGGCATATGATGAAAATGGTTTTGGGGTGTGGATCTAATATTATTTCAAAGTTTTATAGATTGCAAATATAAAAATACACTAAGTTTCTAGATTTATCTTTAAGTTTGACTTGTTTAGTAAGCTATGGTTTGCTGATTAAGTTATTAATGAGCATTTAGTTAAGATTAAAGTTGCTAATTTTGTTTTAAGAATACATTTGTGTGTCATCCTGTTACACCTGCAGTGAAACACCTGCAATGCATCACTTTCAAATCAACCCTTTTGGGTCGCTGTGCTAAAATAATTGAATAATAATATTAATAGAGAATAATATCATTAATATTATTACTGTCTTCAATTAAAATAATTGATTAATAATGGAGCTAAAATAATTGAATACCGATAATACTAATGGAAAATATTTGAATAATAATAATGGAGAAAAATATCATAAATATTATTATTCAAATAAAATAAATGGAAAATAATAATATCATGCTCTATCATTCACTGATCATCAATCTACAGTAATCATGTAGAAGATAGGCTACATTATACAATCAACATATTTACCTCTCATGAAGGTCTCAATTGAACAACTTCATATTGGTTCATGTATCATCATGAATAACTAATTAAGAGAGTATCAGTGCTCAGTGACAACATTAATTGTTGCCTGTTATTTTAACCAGTGAGTTTTAGCATGTAGTAAAACCTTTTTTCTTAGTTTGGCTTGAAATAAATCATGATGAATCCAAGATAATTTCTTGTATATTTTGATCAATTTGAGAACGACGACGAATGCTTCATTGTTTTATTTGAGCTGATTTATTACTTACATTCGTTTTATGTTGTTTGCATTTTTTATGTAATTTGCCAAGCTCGTGTACATAATTAAGAATTGCAATTTATCACCATAACTCTTAACACAAGGATTAAAAGAAATTTAAATTGACCAATCAGAATTTGGTTTCTTTAAGTTGACCATTTATAGCATGGTGAATATTTTTGAGAAGTACATGTTGGTCTTTTAAAGAATTTAGTAGTCATGCTTATGACATTTCTTGAAAAGTGACCAATCAAGGCTTGGAATCATGAGAATTGGCCTATCAAGGATTGGATACCTACACCTGAAGAAATTGACCAATCATATTTTGGTTATTTCCATTTATGGTTTAGGATATTTCTTTGACATAATTCATATCATTCCTTATTATTGGTCAGGTCCCAGAAGCCTTACATGAGATGAATGTTACCCAAACAATGGAAACATTAAAGTTAAAATCAGTAAACGTATTGTGAATTTAACAAAAATGTTTAGCTGTTTAATTCAAAGTTGTAGGGATATTCACAATTTTGTGAGCATGAAGTAATGGTTGTTAAATATGGTGCAGTGTTAGAATGCCAGTATGTCTGCACAATATTGCAGGGCAAGTTTTATACGGAAAATGTAAAGCTGGGTTGAACAAGTATCATATGTTTGCCTGTCAGACCAACAGCCAAAATTTGATCAGATTTTGCCAGTGTGAATGTGCTTCACACATACCTGATCAAACAAATTTTGTCTATAACCATTGTCTATTGGAAGTGTCATACATGCTGTACCTCATCCTAGAAAGTCTGATTTAGCATTGCCTGTTGTGTCTGACAGACAAATATCTGAATCTGTATTCTGCCAAAAGGGACCCGAGAAGTGGAATTGATTTCCATTGATAATGGATTTTTGCGAATCCATTGATACTTGGAACATGTGCAGCCATGTTTGTAAAGATTATTAAACCAGAATAGTTTGTAAACAAATATTTGTTAGGACAAGGTATATAGTATAAATATATATATAAATAAAAATATATATATTCTCGTTTATATGCCAACTTAGTTGAACTTTTATACTGTAATTTTATCAGCTTGTACAGAATGTTATGCTAATTGTATTTTATATGTAGCAATTATTAATGCGATTTCATTATTCCAAGCGCAAGTCTTGTCTATTGCTGTTATATGGGGATTTTTACCAGGTTTTGGGATTGAATTATTATTATATCAATTAATTTGTGTGTATTATGTAATCAAAGTGTAATCCAGTGTCTATAAACTTTTATCCATAGTGTCAGTCCAGTTAGGTAGAGGGCGCTAAAAATGATACTGTAATTAATTTCTATATATTTAGATTATTTTTGGTCATGCAGTAAAGAGAATTGTTTTTATTTTTGATTATATTGTTTGTGATATCAAAAAATTGATCCAAAGTTTATAAACATTTTATCAGTAGTGTGGTCACACAGTCATGAAGGACACTGCATACGGTTATTTTACAATGTTATGCTAATTACATATATTTTTTTCTCTTTGTTTTGGATTATTTTCATCAGAATGGAAGAGATATTGTATTGTTCTATCTTCTGATAAAATATTCAATTAAAAAAATTCCCTACTTTCCATCAAGCCACATTATCAATATCAAAATATTCAATAGCTTTTTTTAAATTGTATTTCAGTTGCTGTTTTATTACTTTATATTTTTGTTATTATTAACTACTTAATATGTTTAGAATTTGAATTTTCTCTGTATATTTTTATGAAACCCAGGTTCTTATACCAGTGAAATGGTCAAATTTCAGTTGTGGCTGTATTCTAGTATGTAACAATTAGAATGTGTGACCATTTTTTAAAATTATATTTATTAATAATAACTCATTTCTTTGAATAATACATCATAATTGGACTATTTTTTTAAAAATGGCCATCATTGAATGCTTAACATATGGCCAAATTTGAATACTGTATCAATGTTATAAACATAAATTTTAAAGAACATCTGTTTAATAAAATACTGAATGGAATTTAAAAAGGCAGGATTTACTATCAACATTTATTTTTTTAATTACTAGTAATTGATCATAACTTTGTACTTTTTTGGTTATTTTTTTGTTATGTTTACATGTTTCTTAAGTTTTCAAGCTTTGTTTATCACACTGGCTGCGTGCAAATTTTCATATTTCTTGATAATGCTCCAAAGATGAAATGATGAGTGAAAAAAGCATTTTTTTTTGTTTGCGATAGTACTTATTTTTCTTTGTATATTTGAATGAATGTTTAAATACTCCTGGTCTTGAAATTGTTTAGTTGTGACTTTGTACAGACTCCACTCATTATTACATGGTCTTTTGATAAATATAGTCAACAAAAAAAATTAAATAGGCCTGTCAAATAAAATGTCTTATACGCATATTTAATAATCCCAACTCTATATTACCTGACTCTGGTTCATCATCTGAACTTGCTAACTC